GAACATCCACAGCAGCTCTTGGTTGGATGTTTTTGTACATGAGCTTCATTCTTCCTGTCACTGTGCTTGTCGGGCACAGTAGTAAACAGCAGTGTCTTCTGCTGTCAGACCTGTGATCTCCATGTACTGGGTGCTGCTGGGACATTTTCAGTCAGAGTGAAGCGTTGTTGAAAGGCACTTGCATAAATAGCAGCATTATTGCCTGTGCTCATTTCTCCAATCCAGTCGAGCCCTTGTCCTGGTCTCTGTCGTATCCAGTTAATGTTGTAGCTTGTCATAGAATAATCAGATGTAACACAGGACATCTTCACACTTTCTCCAGCTCTTTTCAGCAGAGAAGATGGCTGCTCCAGTCTGATCTCTGTCCACACACCTGTACAAGGAAAAAATACATGAATTTAATTTACACTCAAACATGTTTCAAATCACAATTCAAATGTCATAATTATTAAAGTCTTACAGTGAATTGTAGCTATAAATAATAATGTTAGTAGAAGATATTTTGCCATTTTGAAAAACAGATTTGTGTTCGATGTTGCAGTTCAATCTGGTTTCTGTGGCACAGAATAACTTAGTGGTGCTTTTAAAGTGTGTATAATTTGCATATACAGTAACTCCCTCTGCTGGACACAGACAGTAATGCTGATTGTAATTTCATTGTTTGTTCTCTCATTCAATGACAACAATCAAACTATAGTTTAATGAAAGATTATGTCATAATTAGTGCTAAACTGGGAACCTTCATGTGTTTCAGATGCTTCTTCTTCTCATAAGACAATTTTAATAGAAACAGTTTTCTTGTGAAAATGTTAAGTTTATTTATATTCATGGAAAACAAGAATATCTGACATCAATTCATTGAGTGTTTATGGTGACAATAGTGATAGTGGAAACATTGCACTATTTTTTAGCCAGTAGAGAAGAGCACAGTGAACAGAGGAAGTAGTTTTTGTCCCAGCGCTCTGTTATTCTGTCTCATTGTGTCTCTTCTGGCACAGTAATACAGCGCAGTGTCCTCTGTCCTCAGACCGCTCATCTGCAGATACACCTGGCTGCTGGAGTCGTCTCTGGAGATGGTGAAGCGTCCCTCCACTGACTTGGAGTAGTAGATTGGAGTACTGGCTGTGTGCACTAACGCAATCCACTCCAGACCTTTACCTGGAGCCTGTCTAATCCAATTCCACACAGAGCTGCACTGAAGTCAAACCCAGAGGTAGTACATGTGAGTCTATGGGATTCTCCAGGACGTTTGATGGTTGATCCAGACTCTGTTATGGACCAAGCATGAACAATATTGAAAAGGCACACAGCACACAGCAGTATAGTGAAGTGTGTAACAGCCATTGTAGCACAGTGCTGCTGTCAACAGTGTGGTTCTCATTTATATATCAGCTTTACTCAAGCTCCTCCCACTATCCAAACTATGACCATAAACCCAAATTTATGAAAAACATGAATGAAAAGTAAATATTTTAAAGACACAACCAGTCAAAAGTTCAGACACACTTCTTCATTTTTGCTCTTTCTTTATTTTCATGATTATTTACATTGTGGATTCTAACTGAAAGTATAAAAACTATGAATGAATATATATGGAATGTTGAAAAGAAAAATAACCTTGATATAACTGCAGACTTCTTTTAGAATTTAGATTTTAAAGAGGGCATATTGCACTTCTGTGGGATATTAACCACACATTAACACAACATATTCAGATCAACATGTTACTATTGTTTTTCAAAATTCTGTAATCATCAAAAAAAAGGTATTAATTTGTTTTTATAAGTTTCAGTTCAGTTTTTGACGTCCTCCTTTCTCGTTCTTCATTTTACATTCGACTAATGAAACAGCTGCACTTCGCATTTGGTTTGTGAAGTTGTAGTGTTTGTTTTGTGTCATACTTTTCTTTATTAGTGGGAAGTTGTTGTGTGGGAGCATGGGTGACATAGGCTTGTGGGCTGAGCTTTGGATAGGATCGTATTTCCAATCGTAAGGAGGGTTCGAGGCTCGGGAGAGAGCGCTAGATTACTTAAACATGCACGGGTGACATTTAAAATAAGGTTTGCATTGGCTTCTCCCCAAAGTTTATATATCGCCACATGTTTTGGTTATGATAATAGATGGTGGCAGGATGGTTGGTGGTTTAAACAGAATGCCTTTCAAAACACCCAAAGTGCTTTTAAATAGCATTATTCATTCATTCTTCACACACACAGTTTGTAAACAAGTTTTACATTCTATTTATTTATTGATTTATCATAAAATATAATATATCACCAGGGCTCTTCTATTCTTCAACTTCTTCTAATGCACACGAATAAATGGTGAAAACAGATTTACCTCTCTGTCATCATTTGAAGAGTGCAAACATCAAAATCTTGCATTTCATTTTATTCATGGGTATAAATTGGACATTTTAAGCAGATTCTATCAAATGTTTCCTTTGTGAGAATACTGCTAAAACTGATAAAACATCCCACTATTGTTGATTTATTGTCTCCTGAAAATAAAAAAAAGTCAGTCATGTTTTTGTCAAGGTGTTTTTCACTGTGGTAGCTGCTGCCACTATAAACTCACCGTGATCCACCTCTGCACATAAACTCCCCCTGCTGTTTGTCACTATAACTAATGCTGCAACATCAGGAGGATTTCATGATCACTGACACACACACAACTAGAATCTGAACAGACACACACTTGAATCAAATGTGATGTTTTAATTGTTGTTTGTTGTTTCATGTTTGTCTTGTGAATCTAGTTAGTCCATGAATGAGGCAGTTTCTTTTTTTTTTTTTTTTTATGCACATAAAACAGTGACACAGGTTATAAACAAATGAAAATGATTTGATCTAAATCTATGAGTCATTGTTCACTGATATGTCTATCTGTAGATGACACACAAACACATGAGAGAGTCACAGGGAGGAGCTGAACAAAAACTACACTGGAAATAAAGACAGTTCTGATCTGTTAGTGGTCTAAATGGATCCATAAAACCAATAAATATTAATACCATTTTCATCTTCTGACGTTACATTCTGTTACAGCTTTCTCACTGTCAAACACAAAACATAACAGTATCCTGAAAGAAATCATTGCTATTTCATTTTGTCCACTATATAGATATAACATAGTAAAAGCAGAGCAGTGGGGGTGTTAGGGGGATGTTATAGACGCACCGGGACACGGGCTGCATCTGTGGATAAAGTAATATAGAGACTTGAGTTCAGGTTGCATGTTGCTGTGCTGTAGTTGAAGTTTAAAATACTTTAACTATGACCTGAGTATTGCCATATCACAACTCTCCTCTGGTGATTGTAGCTGATGGAAAACTAACACATATAAAAGAATCTTGGATGAAAGAATGAAACTAAATATTATCAGCTCCATGTGCATTATGATTTTAACTTAGAGTTTGTTTGTTTTTTTGTGGTTTATAGCTCTATAGCTGTAGAAGTATTTCAGGATTGTAGATGCTCCTGCACTCATGTTTTTGTCATGGTGTTTTTCACTGTGGCCGCTGCTATATGCACAATGATTCACCTCTGCACAGAAACACTGAACTGTCTGTCTGTCACTCTAACTGCTGCTCAGCTCGAGCTCAGGACGATTTCATTATTAGTCTAATTTCACTGTGAAACCACTTTACTAATTCTTAAATTTGTACATGTTAACTTGAACTAACTTTTTAAACTTATTATAGAATTTAACTTAAATGCTAGAAAACTTTTGAAATAATCTTCCCCCATACACATTTATGATCATTATCAATATTATTTTAGTTTTTTTTCTACATATAAATACAGTTTTCTGTATTCAGTCTTTTACCTGGTGTCCACACATAGAAAAAGTCTCTCATGTTGCTGTGTGACTGGTTTGCTGTGATGATCACACAGAAGAAGTCATTTGGTCTTCATCCTGAGAAAGAAAAAGCCTGAATTGACATAATACATGAAGTATAAAATGTCTGACATAAGATCATATCATGTTTATTTTCTTTGTCATTGTCAGATGAACAATTCTTCCTGATCCCAACTCATTATGGACCAAGCAGCACATATGGGATAAACTGATAAACTGTGCATAGGACGCCCTCTCTGGTACTTACTGTGAATTGCACTCTTTACTGTTTTTGTACAGCTCTACATATACTTTGTGTGACTGTGTGATACCGAGCACAGTAGTACACTGCAGTGTCTCCAGGCTGCATGTTCTGTCCATTCAGAGTCACTGTGTTACTGGAGGAATCTACATTTAAACTGAATTTGCTCTTCAGTGAATCTTTATGGTGAGTGCCTCCTGTGTATTTCATTCCAATCCACTCCAGGCCTTTCCCAGCAGGCTGTCTGATCCATGCTGTGTAGTAGCTGCTAACAGAGTATGAGACAGTACAGGGGATGGTGAGAGTGTGTCCTGGCTGCACAGTCACAGAGGTTGGCTGTGTCAGTGTCTCACACTTCACACCTGTGGAGGACAGAAATGTGTTGAGGAGATGCTTCAATAACAGGAGCATTGTGTGGAAGTGGAGCTGATGTTGAGTGTGAAAGAGGAAAACTCACAGATCAGACAGAGAGCAGCCCACAGCAGAGTGAGTGTGTCCATCCTGAGACTGCACATGTGAGCGAGGAGGAGCAGCAACACACTATGTACTGTACACACATTTACATCTGCTCTGCATACACTCCTCCTCTCACTCAGTCACACAGTCATGGAAAAGGACCAATAGTGTATAAATTGTATATGCATCTGCTCAGAGGAATTTTCATAATATTCAATTTAACATCATGTTTATTATATGACAAGTTGACTTTTTATTGCTAAGCAAATACTAGTTGAAAAGAAGATTTTTTTTCTTTGTAATTGAATTTTCTTTTTTTTTTTTCTTTTTGAAATTATAGTTTGTTCATTGTCAGCAGCATGTGTGATCTTGTTTAGCTTTAACAGAAATAAAAATGATATGAGTCAGAACATTTTGGAACCAGACAGGACTGCCTTTATCACCTGTTCATTTTGTCTCGACAATGAACATTACATTACTTACATTTTAGTGAAATATTGAGATTAAACAAGTTATCATATTATTGAAACTTATTACAGTTGTTGCTTTCATCACTCTAATATGTCTCATAATGCTGTTATGTAAAAAGAACAAACTTGTTAAATGTTTTATTTCTAACATGTTTTAAAATGTATTTCAATATAAAGAGACAGAGTGGATGCTCTCTAAGAATTTACATCTCGTTTTTAAGTATTTGCTTATTGCAAGAAAAACTGTCAATGTTGTCATCTTTCCAACAATATCAGCTATTCCAAACTGACTTCTATGACTTAGAAATATTCAATATGAATGTATGACTAAAATTAGGTTTAGGATGCTTTATGAATTTATTATTTTAGTATTAGACTAGAGTTGGTCTTAAATGCCACTTCAGTTGTCATAATCACAGAGAAATTTACTGAAAGATTACTAACCTGCTAACATGTACTTCTGTGTTATACTTCTGTTCTGTATATGTGTATGATGTATATAGTTGAATAGCCTGTTGTGCTTTACTCTCTGTTAGGGGCTGGCTCTGTGTTTTTGTACAGCTCTGCTGTTGCTCTGAGTCACTGTGATCGCACACAGTAATAAACAGCTGAGTCTTCAGGCTGCAGCCTCTGTCCTTGAATAGTCACTGTTCCTGCAGACGTGTCTCTGCTCAGACTGAACTTGTTCTTCAGAGCATCGTTCTGTCTTAGACCACCTCCTCCCCACTGATGGAAAATCCACTCCAGTTTGCCCTCTCTCTGTCTGATCCAGCCTGTGGCATAGCTGTTGTCAGTGAGAGAGTAACCAGAGACCCGACAGCTGATGGTCAGAGTCTGAGCAGGCTGCAGCAGCACTGAGCCTGGCTGGAGGAGCTCCACACAGTCCACTGTACCTGTGGAAAGACAACATCATCATCACACTCATTCTCCTACAGGGGGCGCTGCTGTGAAGGTCAGGAAGTGTTCTTACAGGAAGCAGCTGCCAGCAGCAGGAGCACAGCCACAGACAACATGACTCAAGTGTGTGTGTCCCTCTCTCCACTCACCTTATATCACTCTGGGATTTGCATATGCATGAATACACCAGTACAGATTTTACTACACACAACTGTGTCATTGGTTAAATCTATCTAGTTTGAAGTTAATTCAAAGTATTAATTCACTCAGTTTGACTTTTTAAAAGGAGGCATGTTATGCCAGTGTGACTTTCTTATTTTTCTTATTTATTTTTCTTATTTCTTATTTCTTATTTCTTATTTATGTTTATTTATTTCGGACAGTAATACATAGAACATAAATTAAAAAACAAAAACTAAAAACTAAATAATAAAAAAAAAGACAAAAACGTAAATACATAGATATAACACAAAAAGTAACTATTTCTATTCTATAATAACAGGCAAAATAAATGTTACGCAGAATTTTAATGTGTCCGAAAAAGGAGTGGGAGGAAGTAAATACTTATTTAACCCCACCCCTTTTTTCTACAATCCCAAATTAACGAAGAACAAATACAAATTCTTGTACATTATAAGCAATAATTGCACAGTACCTCCATTGCATTACAATCTAACAGACAACAACAAATATATGTATATTATGTACACAGATATAGTACACATCATATACACAGATATAATATATACATACCTACATACACATCACATACCCATGCATATCTATCTATATATATATATATATATATATATATATATATATATATATATATATATATATATATATATATATATATATATATATATATATACATATATACACCCATATACATACATATACACATATACCCTAAGCACTCATTTCTTCCGCACAGTATTTTGAAATAATTAATTTTTTAATTGCCCTTTTGAATACATGTATATTCGAACAAAGTTTTAATTCTATTTTCAAGTTGTTCCATAATTTCACCCCACAAACAGAGACACAAAAACTTTTTCTTGTCGTTCGAGCACGAGGCAATTTAAAATTCAAAACGCCTCTTAAGTTATAGTTTGTTTCCCTTTCACAAAAAAGTAGTTGAAGATTTTTTGGTAAGTGCTTATTTTTAGCTTTATACATGACTTGTGCAGTTTGGTACAGAATCAAATCATTCAGTTTGAGTAATTTGGCATGAATAAACAGTGGATTAGTGTGGTCATGAAATTTGACATTATAAACAATTCTTATTGCTTTTTTTTGAAGTTTTATCAATGGTTCTATTGCAGTTTTATAGTTATTGCCCCAAATTTCTGCACAGTATGTTAAATATGGTAAAACCAGTGAACAATAAAGTGTGTAACAAAATAAATTTGTGTCATCTGCAAATAACACTGCTTTAAACAATGTAGACACTTTGCATAGATCGTTAATATATAAAATAAATAATTTAGGTCCTAACACGGACCCTTGTGGCAGGCCACAGACAATGTCCTCATGTGAAGAGCAGTGTTCACCCAGTTTGACAAATTGTTTTCGGTTTACTAAATAACTTTTTAGCCACTTTAAAGCTACCCCTCTTATTCCATACCTTTCCATTTTTTTAAAATAGTAATTGATGATTTATTGTGTCAAAAGCCTTTTTTAAATCTATGAATATACCCGCTATTATTCTCCTTTGATCAATGTGATTGGTTATTGCTTCAATTGAGTCCATCAGAGCGAGTGATGTTGATCTGCTTGTTCTGAAACCGTACTGACTATCGCTGAGGAGGTTGTGTTGACCTATGAATTTTTCCAGTCTAGTGTTGTAGAGCTGTTCTAATATTTTTGAGAATTGTGGTAGTAGAGAAACTGGTCTGTAGTTGGTAAATTCCTGCTTGTTTTCCAGATTTAAATAAAGGTATGACTTTTGCTATCTTCATCTGTAGTGGAACTGTACCAGTTTGAAATGATAGATTGAAGATGTGTGCTAATGGTTTGGCAATTACTGTAATTATTTGTTTTATCAGGGCCATGTCCAAATCAATGTAATCAGTTGATTTCTTATTTTTACATTTCATGACTGTATTGACAATTTCCGTTTCCTCCACAGGGGAAATAAACATGGAATGGGGATTTCTGTCAATTAGTTGTTGGCGTTCTCCTGTGTGTTGAGGGATTTTGGCTGCCAAATCTGGACCCACATTAGCAAAGAACTGATTGAACTTATTTGCCACCATTTCCATGTTATATTCATCTATATTATTATGTGTAAAGAATTTCGGATAGTTTTCTGCTTTTGGCTTATTATTTATGACACTGTTCAATATTTTCCATACCTCTTTCACATTGTTTTTATTATAATCTAATAATTTCCTAAAGTAATCTCTCTTACTTGTACGCAAAATTGTAGTTAATTTGTTTTTATATGTTTTATATCTAGTCTCTGTCTCAATCGTTCTCTTTTTTATAAAATTTCTGAATAGACTATTTTTCTTATTGCAAGCATTTTGAAGACCTTTTGTTATCCAAGGGTGTTCTTTATATCTACTTTTTTTATTATAGTATACAATTGGACAGTTTCTATTATATAACTCTAGAAATATTTTTATAAATTCATTGTATGCACATTCTGCATTTTGGATATTACAAATAGCATCCCAGTCTTGAGAAAGTAAACTATTTTTAAAGGCAGTGATAGTTTGGTCTGATTGAATTCATCTGTGGTATTGTATTTTTTCAGGCACTTTTTTTCTCAATCTAAAATCAGTAACTATGAAAACTGGCAGATGATCTGTGATATCATTTATTAACAACCCGCTTAATGTATGTTTCTCAGTGTCTTTTATGAATGTTTCAGTTTTAAAATAGTTATATTATTATAGCAAAAGAAACATTCAGAACTGAAGAAGCTGCTTGGATGAAAACACTAAAAGCTTTTGTCAAGTTGATAGAATTGATTTTTTTCTTTTACAATGGATCCTTCTTGGACGACTGAAATAATACATAACACTTGTATTTCAAGATATCCAAAGATGCTTTACATGAGAAGACAAACAACGACAAACAAGAGAAAAAGACAGTTAATGAAAGTTTTCTTTTTTCTTAAAGAGATGGGTTTTCAGGGCTTTTTTAAACATGAGCAGTGTGGGTGAGTCTCTGATGTGTTTGGGTAGTGAGTTCCAGAGGGTGAGGGCAGCAGTGGAGAAGGCCTGGTCGCCCCAGGTCTTATGTTTAGTCCTGGTGGGGGGAGACAGGAGGTTGGTGTCAGCTGATCGGAGGGCACGGGTGGTGCTGTGGTGGTGGAGGAGCTCAGAGAGGTAGGTGGGGGTCAGGTTGTGGAGGGACACAATGGTGAGGAGTGTGAACTGGATGCGCTGGGGGATGGGGACAGGGGTGATGTGTTCAGGGGAGGAGGTGCAGGTGAGGAGGCAGGCAGCAGAGTTCTGGATGTACTGGAGTCTACTGAGGAGTTTGGAGGGTGAACCATAGAGCAGGATATTGCAGTTGTCGAGGCATAAGGTGACAAAGACGTGGATGAGGGTTTGAGCAGACTGAGGGGAGAGGGATGGGCGGAGGCGAGCAATGTTCCGGAGGTGATAGAAAGCAGTTCTGGTGATGTGTTTGACGTGATGTTCAAAGGAAAGAGTCTGGTCAAAGAGGATGCTGAGGTTACAGAGGTGGGAGGAGGAGGAGGGGACTGAAGAGCCATGAATGGAGAGGGTGAAGTTATTGTGAGTTTTGGTGAGTGTTTTGGGGCCGATAATGAAGATTTCATTTTTGTTGCAGTAGAGTTGGAGGAAGTTTGACTGTAGCCAGGACTTTATTTCAGAGATGCAGTTTGTGAGGGTGGAATGTGTGGCCAGGGTTATGGTTTTGGTGGACAGGTAGAGTTGGATGTCATCAGCGAAACAATGGAACTGGAGGCCGTGGCGGCAGATTATGTGACCGAGGAGGAGGATGTAGAGCACAGGTGTCAAACATATGGCCCGGGGGCCAGATCCGGCCCTCCAAGACCTTTAATCTGGCCCTTGGCTGGTTTTCTACTAAAATAATTTTATTATATTTTCTATTAAAATATTGGTAATTTTCTGCACCGCTAGCATATCAGCATCTCCAGCGTCTCTGTACGTGGCCCCTCCCACCAGAGCAGCACAAATGAAGACTTGCCTCTTTCCAAACGCTCTTAAAGGACGATCGTTTTGACTGTTGACCGTGACACCCTCATCAGAAAAATGTCAAAAATGAGAAAAGTGGAGCCGAGTGCAGGATTTTACAACAAAAATTGACTTATTCCTATTTGAATACAAGTTCATGTTAAAACATTGTGTTTTTCTTAAAGTTTCAGGTTGTTCATAATATTATAATATTTTGTAAATGAAAGAGTTCACTCAATTAAAAATGATTTCTGTAATAGATTTACGTTTCTCTGCACAAATATCTGAACATATTGCTATTTTTGTGGTATATATGCCATGAGTTTTCTGATCCGGCCCCTTTGGGAACAAAGTAGGTTGGATACGGCCCCCGGACCAAAATGAGTTGGACACCCCTGATGTAGAGAATGAAGAAGAGCGGGCCGAGAACTTAACCTTGGGGAACTCCTTGAGTAAGTGGGGCAGAGGGGGACTTGCAGTGGTTGACATGGATGAATTGGTGTCTGTCGGTGAGGTATGAGGTGAACCAGGAGAGGGCGAAGTCAGTGATGTTGAAGGTGGTTTGCAGGCGGTAGAGGAGGATGGAGTGATCGATGGTGTCAAAAGCAGCAGTGAGGTCCAGGAGGATGAGGATGTTGAGGTTCCCAGAGTCACAGGAGAGCAGGAGGTCATTAGTGACTCGGAGGAGGGCTGTCTCGGTGCTGTGGTGGAAGTGGAAACCGGATTGGAAACATTCAAACAGGTTATTGGTGGTGAGGTGGGATTTCAGTTGGGTGGAGACGGCACATTCGATTCGAGTTTGGAGAGAAATGGGAGGTTAGAGATGGGTCTGTAGTTGTTTGGAAAGTCTGGGTCAAGTCCAGGTTTTTTGAGGATAGGAGTAATGGTGGTGAGCTTAAGCGCGGAAGGGACGGAGCCAGTGGACAGAGAGAAGTTCATGATGGATGTGAGGAATGAGGACTGAGCAGGCAGACCGGCTTTGCCAAAGGTGGATGGGATGGGATCAGGGAAACAGCTGCAGGTTTTCATGCCTTCCAGAAGTTCAGGTAAGTCAGAGGGGGAGATCTGGGAGAAATGGGACAGGGTGGAGCAAGTAGTGGGAGGGCATGGGAGATGTAAGAGTGAGGGACGGAGATGCACAGAGGTGGTCGTATATGTTGGTGATTTTATTTGGAAAAAATGACAGGAAGGAGATAAACTTTTCTTCTGTGAATGATTGTGAGCCATTATCCAGGGGATTGAGGTGTTTGTTAATGGTGGTGAAAAGTGTTTTGGGATTTCCAAAGCCTGACTGAATGAGGTGGGAATAGTAGGTGGTCCGGGCTTGAGACAGGACTTCCTTGAATTGTTGAAGACCGGATTCACTATCTCACTATGAATTAGTAAAACAAACAACACTTATTCATAATAAACTCTATTTGCTTGTCATTAATTAAGTGTTTATTTGTGTTTAATATGAATTAATATGAATTTATTATAAATTGTGATTCAATATTCTAGAACCACATGCACTTAAATCTTCAGTGAGATTTTGCTGTGTATAGGGCGACCCCTCTGGTTGTTATTGTGAATGGCACCCTTTAATGTTTTTGTACAGTTGTAGATATACTTTGTGTCACTGTGGTCTCGGGCACAGTAGTACACAGCCGTGTCCTCAGTCTGGAGGTTGTTCATCTGCAGATACAGCTGGTTTCTGCTGTTGTCTCTGGAGATAGTGAACCTGCTTTTCACTGACTCAGAGTAAGCAGTGCCTGCACTGGGGTTAATGTGAGCCAGCCACTGCAGCCCCTTCCCAGGAGCCTGTCTGATCCAATTCATGTAAAGGCTGCTAAATGTGAACCCAGATGTTGTACAGGTCAGTCTGTGGGACTCTCCTGGTCTTTTCACAGTTGGACCAGATTCAGTCAGAGTCTGAGCAAAGACACCTGTGGAAACAAGCCAAAACTGTATTCAAATTCATCCTGCTGTCATTTACCAGTATTAGTCCAGAGCAACAGTTCACCTGTCCAGTATGTGACAAACACAAGTGCTGTCCTGTAGTCCATTTTGTTCAAGTGTCCACAGCTCTGTTTCCTCTCCACACAGAGTTAAATAGAGGAGAGGATTTCAGGTTTGCATTGGCTCCTCCCCAAAGTTTATATATCGCCACATGTTTTGGTTATGAAAATAGATGGTGGCAGGATGGTTGGTGGTTTAAGCAGCACATCTTTCAAAACACCCAAAGTGCTTTTAAGTTGCATTATTCATTCATTCTCCACACACAGGGTTTGTAAGCCAAGTTTTACATGCTATTTATTTATTGATTTATCATAAAATATAAATTCAGAGTTTGTCCCTACTGCTAAATTCAATTGAAATCACAAACACATAAAATTTCAAAATACATTTTTAGAAACAGATAGTTAAAGTGTGAAGAGTTATAGGGCCAAAACTGTCCCTTGTGGGTCCAAACATTACATATTAAGATAAAACAATACAATATAATAATATAATACTATAATTCTGCTGTCAGACCTGTGATCTTCATGTACTGGGTGCTGCTGGGGACAATTTCAGTCAGAGTGAAGTGTTGAAAAGCGCTGATGTAAGAAATTAAAATGTTCCATGGTCATGTTGCCTGCTTATTATTTTAACACTGTATTTTACTGTATGGAACTTTTTATTTTTATTGGTTATGGTTCACTGTATTTAACAATATTTAATTATTTATTTATTCAGTTAGTGTCAATTATTCACTGTTTTTACAGAACCACGTTGTTACTGTCATGTTTTATTAGCTCTATAAATCTTATATCCAAAATATGATTCTATTCTACCTACACTACAAATATGTTTGTATTATGTGTTTCACCAGGGCTCTTCTATTCTTCAACTATTTCTAATGCACATGAATAAATGGTGAAAACAGATTTACCTCTCTGTCATCATTTGAAGAGTGCAAACATCAAAATCTTGCATTTCATTATATTCATGGCTATAAACTGGACATTTTAAGCTGATTCTATCAAATATTTCCTTTGTGAGAATAACAGTTTTATTAAAAGCCAAGATCAGAAAAATCATATTATTGAAACTGACTGCAATAGTTCTTTTTATCATTCAAACAGGTCTGGTAATGCTAGTATTGACCCACTTCTATCATTGTTTTTTTTTTTCAAAAATGTTTTAAATGTAATTCTATTTGCCTAATGTAAAATAATAATAATTTTAATAGACTTCCGCTCTGTCATCTCAGTTTGTGTACAGCTGTGGAGCTCTCTGCACCACTGTGCCTCTCGTGCACAGTAATAAACAGCCGTATCTCCTTCCTTTGCACTGTGAAGTTGTAAATACACAGTGTTTGTTGAAGTGTCTTTTGTGATAGAAAATTGGCCCTGGACACTTTGAGCAAATATGGTGCCTGTTCCACTGTCAATGCGACCGATCCAGTCCAGTCCTCGCCCTGGTTTCTGACGAATCCAGTGCAGCCAAGCTAAAGAGAGCCCCTCCACTTTACAGGACAGTGAGACAGACTGTCCCGGGCTGGTGACCACTGGCTCTGAAGAGGTCAGAGACTGGGCCTGGACCACTGGAAAACACAGAGAGTTGAAATGGTGTAAAGTGCTGTTTGTGCTGTAGATGTGTTCAGTGTCTGTACCCACCTGGAATAAGAGCCCAGAGGAACACAGTCACTGCTCTCCCCATCATAGTGGAAACTTGAGGAGCTCTGCAAAGACTCACTTTCACTTGGGCTCTATAAAGAGAGTGGGTGTGGCAACGTTCTGACTATTTACAAGTATTTGCTTAATTCAAGTAAATCTGTCAGCATTCAAATATCTAAAATTAAGCATATTATCATATTTTACACTTGACCCATTTGATTATCTTATTATTGCTCGTGAAATCAACTTCAGTTTTCATGAATACAGAGAAATTTTCTGAAAGATTACCTAAAGATGTACTAGTCTGCTCATATGTAGTCCCAGGTTATAAGACTGTATACTGTTCTGATAATGTGTAGTTGAATTACCTTTTCTTTAATGAGCTTTACAGTCTGTTAGGGGCCGACACTGTGATTGTGCACAGTGACATGTACGATTCAGCAGCGTCACAGTGCGGCACTTTACACTGTTACTATGATGTTTATCAGGTCATTTTACTTCATTATTGCTGCATTTATAGTATCTTCTCTCTTTAATGTCTCTATTTCTTTTTGAATTTTATGATGATTATTTATGTTTTGATTTGTTTGTATTGCAATTTTCATGTATTTCTTATTCTGTAAATCACTTTGAATTACTTTGTGTATGAGCTGTACTATACAAATAAACTTGCCTTGCCATGGCATTTACTTCACAGATTGAGATGGAGTGTGAAAAGATTTGGAGTAAAACATCCCCCTGCAGGACCCCAATATATTTTACACAACACTATGGCCCTAGTCTAGACAAACATACAGGTGTGTTTTCAGTTGCTCTGTAATGACATTTGTTTAAAGAATAAACTAGAAGTGCTCATATAAAGAGTGAATGACTCAAAAATTAGGAATCTCCAAATCATTTTTCCAACAATATTTTAAAAAAGTACATTTCTGATCATTTGAAATCAGGTAAAAAAAATGCAGTTGAATTAACAGAATCCAGTTTCATGTTAAAATCATACATCCATTTATATTTATGGGTATAAATAAAAGGTAAAGTTTGAATCGTGTTGCCTCAAGTTTTTGTTTTTCTTTGTGGCATTAGTGCTGAAAATTGGTGAAGCATCACACTATTTTTAGCCAGTAGAGAAGAGCACAGTGAAGAGAGGAAGTAGTTTTTGTCCCAGCGCTCTGTTATTCTGTCTCATTTTGTCTCTTCTGGCACAGTAATACAGCGCAGTGTCCTCTGTCCTCAGACCGCTCATCTGCAGATACACCTGGCTGCTGGAGTCGTCTCTGGAGATGGTGAAGCGTCCCTCCACTGACTTGGAGTAAAAGAAGTGACTACTGCCAGTGTGCACAAATGCAATCCACTCCAGACCTTTACCTGGAGCCTGTCTCACCCAGTTCCATGTATGGCTGAAGTCAAACCCAGAGGTAGTACATGTGAGTCTATGGGATTCTCCAGGACGTTTGATGGCTGATCCAGACTCTGTTATGGACCAAGCATGAACAATATTGAAAAGGCACACAGCACACAGCAGTATAGTGAAGTGTGTAACAGCCATTGTAGCACAGTGCTGCTGTCAACAGTGTGGTTCTCATTTAAATATCAGCTTTACTCAAGCTCCTCCCACTATCCAAACTATGACCATAAACCCAAATTTATGAACAACTTGATGAAAATAAATATTTAAATATGTATTTACATATTATATAATAAGTGCTGGAGGCTGAATAAAGGAGGCTGTCAGTGAGAGAGAAATTTAAAAGTATCTTAGAAGAAATTCAGATGAGAGAGTGAAACAAGATATTTTCAACTCCATATGACTTTTGATTCAGAGAAAGTTTAGTTTACAGCTCTATGTATGTATGTAGAAATATGTCAGGACTCTAGATGTTCTTGGAGTCATGTTTTTGTCATGGTGTTTTTCACTGTGGTAGCTGCCATGTGCACAGTGACACACCTCTGCACATAAACACCCTGTCTGTCTGTCTGTCTGTCTGTCTGTCTGTCTGTCACTCTAACTGCTGCTCAACTATAGGGAGGATTCCATTATAGATCTATTTCACTGTCAAACAAATCTACTTTTGGGCTCACAGTCACCTCAAACATTGGTGTCAAAAAACAAATAAAAACAAATACTTTTTTTTTTTTTTTAATGAAAACTGAAACATTTTGAGACACTTTTGGAATTACTTTGTAAAAAGAAGTAAACATTTTTGATCAACTTGGCCTTTCCCCGTTAGAGCAATAAAGGACACCAGGTCTGTAGCTGCTACCACAGTGAGGAGTGAAGCAGATCAAATAAACATTAAACACAGAGGAGTCATGTTTTGCAGTTTTAATTCACACCGTGGAGTCACTGTAACTGCTGCTCAACTGTGGCTCAGGAGGATTTTAGTTTTAGTCAAATTTCTCTGCAAAAGGTTAAGCACAAATCAAGAAATGTTATAAGGTGTCAGATTTAAAATAGCTACATTACAATAGCTAAACAAAAATTCAGAACTTAAGAAGCTGCTCAGGATGAAAACTCAGAAAGCTTTTGTCCAGTCCAGAATTGATTTTTTCTTTTACTGTGGATCCTACCTGGACGACTGATGAATTAAACAAACAGCTGCATTACTACTTTAAAATAACTCATATATATCAAGACTTAAATAATTAATTAGTAAACAAAGATTTAATTTATAATAAACAAATTGTTAATATAGTATTTGCTCATCATGAATTATGTGTTTATTTGTGTTTAAGATGAATTAATCTGCATTTATTATAAAGTGTGACTCAATATTCTAGAACCACCTGCACTTAAAGCTTCAGTGACATTTTGCTGTGTATAGGGCGACCCCTCTGGTTGTTATTGTGAATTGCACCCTTTAATGTTTTTGTACAGTTGTAGATATACTTTGTGTCACTGTGCTTCTCGGGCACAGTAGTACACAGCCGTGTCCTCAGTCTGGAGGTTGTTCATCTGCAGATACAGCTGGTTTCTGCTGTTGTCTCTGGAGATGGTGAACCTGCCTTTCACTGACTCAGAGTAATAAGTGCTCCCACCGCTCCATATGACAGCCAGCCACTGCAGCCCCTTCCCAGGAGCCTGTCTGATCCAGCTCATGCCATAGCTGCTAAATGTGAACCCAGATGTTGTACAGGTCAGTCTGTGGGACTCTCCTGGTCTTTTCACAGCTGGACCAGATTCAGTCAGAGTCTGAGCAAAGACACCTGTGGAAACAAGCCAAAACTGTATTCAAATTCATCCTGCTGTCATTTACCAGTATTAGTCCAGAGCAACAGTTCACCTGTCCAGTATGTGACAAACACAAGTGCTGTCCTGTAGTCCATTTTGTTCAAGTGTCCACAGCTCTGTTTCCTCTCCACACAGAGTTAAATAGAGGAGAGGATTTCAGGTTTGCATTGGCTCCTCCCCAAAGTTTATATATCACCACATGTTTTGGTTATGAAAATAGATGGTGGCAGGATGGTTGGTGGTTTAAGCAGCACACCTTTCAAAACACCCAAAGTGCTTTTAAATTGCATTATTCATTCATTCTCCACACACAGGGTTTGTAAGCCAAGTTTTACATTCTATTTATTTATTGATTTATTTATCACAAAATATAAATTCAGAGTTTGTCCCTACTGCTAAATTCAACTGAAATCACAAACACATACAAATTCAAGATGCATTTTTAGAAACAGATAGTTAAAGTGTGAAGAGTTATAGGGCCAAAACTGTCCCTTGTGGGTCCTTCAACATCACATATCAATATATCAGCCACATTGTTTCACTTTTTACACATGAGTCAATATTATTCTGTTCTAGCTACACTACAACTATGTTTGTATTATGTGTTTCACCAGGGCTCTTCTATTCTTCAACGACTTCTAATGCACACGAACAAATGGTGAAAACAGATTTACCTCTGTCATCATTTGAAGAGTGCAAACATCAAAATCTTGCATTTCATTATATTCATGGGTATAAATTGGACATTTTAATCAAATCAATCAAATATTTCCTTTGTGAGAATACTGCTAAACTGATAAAACATACCACTATTTTTAATGTATTGTCTCTTGAAAAAAATAAAATAAAATTCAGTCATGTTTAAACTCCCCCTGCTGTCTCTCACTATAACTAATGCTGCAACATCAGGAGGATTTCATGATCACTGACACACACACAACTAGAATCTGAACAGACACACACTTGAATCAAATGTGATGTTTTAGTTGTTGTTTGTTGTTTTATGTTTGTCTTGTGAATGTAGTTAGTCCATGAATGAGGCAGTGCTGTTTCTATTTTTTTCTTCGTGTTATGCACATGAAACAGTGACACGGGTTATAAACAAATGAAAATGATTTGATCTAAATCTATGAGTCATTGTTCACTGATATGTCTATCTGTAGATGACACACAAACACACGTGTATTTAGGCAGTGTGATTGATTCTTGCTGATCCCAACACATTATGGACCAAGCCAAAGCAATATTCTAGAGCCGTGTGGACCAAAGGCAGAAGTGATATTTTGATATGTATAGGACGCCCTCTCTGGTACTTACTGTGAATTGCACTCTCTACTGTTTTTGTACAGCTCTACATATACTTTGTGTGACTGTGGTCGTCTGGCACAGTAGTACACTGCAGTGTCTCCAGGCTGCATGTTCTGTCCATTCAGAGTCACTGTTTTTGTGGAAGTGTCTAAATCAATACTGAATTTGTTCTTCAGAGAATCTTTATAGTAAGAAGCTGAGGTGTATTTCATTCCAATCCACTCCAGGCCTTTCCCAGCAGGCTGTCTGATCCATGCTGTGTAGTAGCCAAGAGAGTATGAGACAGTACAGGGGATGGTGAGAGTGTGTCCTGGCTGCACAGTCACAGAGGTTGGCTGTGTCAGTGTCTCACACTTCACACCTGTGGAGGACAGAAATGTGTTGAGGAGATGCTTCAATAACAGGAGCATTGTGTGTAAGTGGAGCTGATGTTGAGTGTGAAAGAGGAAAACTCACAGATCAGACAGAGAGCAGCCCACAGCAGAGTGAGTGTGTCCATCCTGAGACTGCACATGTGAGCGAGGAGGAGCAGCAGCACACTATGTACTGTACACACATTTACATCTGCTCTGCATACACTCCTCCTCTCACTCACACATACAAATCCCCTATGAGGAACTAAAAAATGTGCACACATTTGGTCAGACTCATGTTTATCAAATCAGAAGTTGAATTTCTTGAATGACTAAGAAAATACTAAAATCTGTGATTAATTTTTTTATTAATATTTGTATATAATTATATAATACCAGCAGCATGTATGATTTTTACTATTAACTTAAAGACAAATTTAAGTACATTTTTAAATTTGACAGGGCTACTCTTTATCACCTGTTCATTTTGTTACAACCATGGACAGAACTTACAGTTTATCAAGTAATTAAGATTCAACAAGTCATCACATTATTGAAACTTATTACAGCAGCTGTTTCCATCATTAAAACATGTCTAAGAATAATGCAATATAAAAAAAAATGTATTACATTTACAGGCACAGACAACATGACTCTGTTCTGTATTATAATATATAAAGAACAGTGTCACTATGAATTCATATCTGGTTTGAATTGAAACAAGAGACATATGTTTTAAACTGCCTTTTAGGCTTGTAAGAAATGTCTCCCTTCTTTTTTTTTTTTTTTTTTTTCAATTCCTATTTGTGACTTTATTTAATTTTGTCTTATTAAAAACAAATTTAAATGGTATCATTTCCCTAAATATAAACAATACAGACTTCATCATTCATTGCCATTTAATCCAAATACTGGTCATCTTTTTTCTTCAAAAGTCTAAATTCTGCTCTAAACCACATGCTTTAACTGACAAATGCTCAACAATAATTTTTGACGATTAAAAATGACCGAATCTCAATCTCGATTAGTTGCACAGCTCTATTTTAATTGTGTAAATATTGAATTACAACTTACTAATAAAAATAAATAATAATAATAAGGATAAATACATAAAATAAATTAATAAATCAATAATAATAATAATAATAATAATAATAATAATAATAATAATAATAATACCCCCCCCCCAAAAAAAAAAAATGAAAAAAAGGGAGGGGGGAGAGGGGGGAGGGAGGGGTGCAGTACAGAGTTTCTCAATGCAGTGACACAAACATTTACATACACATATATTTTGACATTGTCCAAGAGTATGTTGTTCTTATTTTACTGGGCTTTGTCCAAATAGGGTTTTGCCACAGTCCATAGGTCATCAGTCCGTTTGTTTTTTGTGTCCAACGATTGAGCCGCCTGCTCCATAGAAATTAAATCCAAAAAATCTTTGTACCAATTGTCTATCTCGAAGCATTTATGTTTGCGTTCCTTCCAGTTCATCATAATAATACGTTTTGCTGATAAAAACCCCAGTGATAATATGTGGTCCAGTTTTTGGGATGACAAATCTTGAGTTCTTATTCCAAATAGGCACAACAGCGGACATAGAGAAATCTGCTCATCAAACATACAAGACAGACGATCCATTACAACGCTCCAATATTGTTTCACTTCAGGGCAATGCCACAACATGTGTATAAGTGTGCCCTCTGCCCCACAACCATGCCAACACAGTTTAGATCATTTGTTATCCATTTTGTTTAGTATATATGGTGTTATATAAGCTCGATGTAATTAATATGAGCTGCAGAATTTTATATCTCACACACATTTAGAAATTTTTGTGGAGTTTTTGCAGTGCTGTTTCCCATTGTGAGGCAGTAATAGACATTCCCAAATCACGTACCCATAGATTTTTTGTTGAATTATTGACATCCCCTTTAGTGTGACGTAAAAGTTTATAAATTCTTGAGACTGTACCTTGTCGTGCAACAGCACGTTTACATTTTTTCCTCCACTCCTTCTTGTCCCCCATGCTCTTATCCTGTGACAATGAAGATTTTAAGACAGATTTAATTTGCATGTAAGTTAAGAATTCAGATTCTTTTCAAACCACTCCTAGTTTTTAATTCACTGAATGATATAAATTATTTCCATTCTTAATCACCTGTGATACATTATTAATATTACTTAATTGCCAGGTTTTATTATTTAGAGTTCTTTTTACCTGCCATAAACAGGGGATTGGACCAAAGGGGACAAGAAGGTAAGGATTTCCCGGTAAAGTTTAAATATTTCTGCAATAATTTGATAATATCACCAGAAAATTTAAGCAATGAAACATTAATATTTGAGATAGTCTTAGGACTGTACCAAAGGGTNCTACTCTTTATCACCTGTTCATTTTGTTACAACCATGGACAGAACTTACAGTTTATCAAGTAATTAAGATTCAACAAGTCATCACATTATTGAAACTTATTACAGCAGCTGTTTCCATCATTAAAACATGTCTAAGAATAATGCAATGTAAAAAAAAATGTATTACATTTACAGGCACAGACAACATGACTCTGTTCTGTATTATAATATATAAAGAACAGTGTCACTATGAATTCATGTCTGGTTTGAATTGAAACAAGAGACATATGTTTTAAACTGCTTTTCAGACTTGTAAGAAATGTCTCCCTTCTTTTTTTTTTTTTTTTTTTTTCAATTCCTATTTGTGACTTTATTTAATTTTGTCTTATTAAAAACAAATTTAAATGGTATCATTTCCCTAAATATAAACAATACAGACTTCATCATTCATTGCCATTTAATCCAAATACTGGTCATCTTTTTTCTTCAAAAGTCTAAATTCTGCTCTAAACCACATGCTTTAACTGACAAATGCTCAACAATAATTTTTGACGATTAAAAATGACTGAATCTCAATCTCGATTAGTTGCACAGCTCTATTTTAATTGTGTAAATATTGAATTACAACTTACTAATAAAAATAAATAATAATAATAAGGATAAATACATAAAATAAATTAATAAATCAATAATAATAATAATAATAATAATAATAATAATAATAATAATAATAATAATACCCCCCCCAAAAAAAAAAAAGAAAAAAAGGGAGGGGGGAGAGGGGGAGGGAGGGGTGCAGTACAGAGTTTCTCAATGCAGTGACACAAACATTTACATACACATATATTTTGACATTGTCCAAGAGTATGTTGTTCTTATTTTACTGTGCTTTGTCCAAATAGGGTTTTGCCACAGTCCATAGGTCATCAGTCCGTTTGTTTTTTTGTGTCCAACGATTGAGCCGCCTGCTCCATAGAAATTAAATCAAAAAAATCTTTGTACCAATTGTCTATCTCGAAGCACTTATGTTTGCGTTCCTTCCAGTTCATCATAATAATACGTTTTGCTGATAAAAACCCCAGTGATAATATGTGGTCCAGTTTTTGGGATGACAAATCTTGAGTTCTTATTCCAAATAGGCACAACAGCGGACATAGAGAAATCTGCTCATCAAACATACAAGACAGACGATCCATTACAACGCTCCAATATTGTTTCACTTCAGGGCAATGCCACAACATGTGTATAAGTGTGCCCTCTGCCCCACAACCATGCCAACACAGTTTAGATCATTTGTTATCCATTTGGTTTAGTATATATGGTGTTATATAAGCTCGATGTAATAATTTGAGCTGCAGAATTTTATATCTCACACATTTAGACATTTTTGTGGAGTTTTGCAGTGCTGTTTCCCATTGTGAGGCAGTAATAGGCATTCCCAAATCACGTACTCATAGATTTTTTGTTGAATTATTGACATCCCCTTTAGTGTGACGTAAAAGTTTATAAATTCTTGAGACTGTACCTTGTCGTGCAACAGCACGTTTACATTTTCCTCCAACTCCTTCTTGTCCCCCATGCTCTTATCCTGTGACAATGAAGATTTTAAGACAGATTTAATTTGCATGTAAGTTAAGAATTCAGATTCTTTCAAACCACTCCTAGTTTTTAATTCACTGAATGATATCAAATTATTTCCATTCTTAATCACCTGTGATACATTATTAATATTACTTAATTGCCAGGTTTTGTTATTTAGAGTTCTTTTACCTGCCATAAACAGGGGATTGGACCAAAGGGGACAAGAAGGTAAGGATTTCCCGGTAAAGTTTAAATATTTCTGCAATAATTTGATAATATCACCAGAAAATTTAAGCAATGAAATATTAATATTTGAGATAGTCTTAGGACTGTACCAAAGGGTCGCTAATGATAAATCTGGATTGTACTCTTGTACTATTTTTTCCTCAAGCCATTTCCAGCTTCCAGTTTCTCGAGTACTACAATAGGCCCAGTTTAGGGGGTACCTAGAATTATATGCTATATAATATAAGTGAATATCTGGCAATCCCACTCCACCCTTGTCAGGGGGTTGAATCAGTTTTTTATGGCCAATCCGTGGCTTTTTGCCTTTCCATAAAAAGTCAGTCATCAATTTGTTAATTTCTTTAAACCATTTTGGGGGGAATTTTAGAGGAATAGATGAGATAATGAAAGCTAGTCTAGGAAGAAAATTCATTTTAATTATTTCAGCTCTGCCCCACAGTGAGAGGGGCAGAACTGTCCATCTTTGTACATCTTCCTTAAGAGTCTTCATGAGGTCGGCCATATTCAATTCGACCATAGTCTCAACAGGAGATCTGATTTGGACACCAAGATATTTCATACCTTTAGGTTTCCACTGGAAGGGGGCAGTATCGAGATGAGACTGGAAGGTATAACGGTTAAGAGGGATAGCCTCACTTTTTGCATAGTTAACTTTGTATCCAGAAATTTTTCCAAAATCATCAACTAATTTAAGCAACTGTGGGATAGATCTTTGTGGATTTGTTATAGTTAATAAAATATAATCTGCAAATAAGTTTAATTTGAATTCATAATCTGCAATATTAATACCCGAAATAGTTTTGTGTGCCCGTATTGCACACGCCAGTGGCTCTAACGCAAGAATAAAAATAAGGGGAGAGGCTGGACATCCTTGACGTGTAGAGCGGTATAGTTGAAACGCTTCAGATAGCATACCATTTGTTTTTACTTTGCTAATGGCAGAGCTTTCACCCAATTGATATACTTAGGACCAAACCCATATTTAGAGAGTACATAAAATAAATATTCCCATTCAATCCTATCAAAGGCTTTTTCAGCATCCAGAGACAATGCTATCGCTGGATGCTGAAAGTCCTCTGCCCTCTTCATCACATGCAGAAGCCTCCTTAAGTTATTAGAGGCCAAGCGGCCTTGAATAAAACCTGTTTGATCTACATGAATCAACAAAGGAATAACTTTTTCCATTCGTTTTGCCAGTAATTTAGCAAACAATTTATAATCATTATTTAGAATGCTCAAAGGTCTATAATTATTCATTTGCTGGTGATCTTTTCCTATTTTAGGAATAAGCGATATGGAGGCCTGCCGCATTGTTGGTGGCATTGAGTATTTGTCTATTATATCATTAAATAATAATGTCAGGTAAGGAGCAAGAATCTCCTGAAAACATTTATAAAATTCTATTATATATCCATCGTTTCCTGGTGTTTTCCCATTTGACAGAGATGTAATTGCAGTTTTAATTTCATTTGTTTGAATTGGTCTTTCCATAAAATCAGCAACGGTCTTTGTTAGAGAAGGTAAGTTTAAGTTTTGAAGAAAATCCTCTATGTCATTCCCATTACAATAACACTCTGATTTATAAAGATTACTATAAAAATTGGCAAATGCTTGGTTAATCTCCTTAGGGTCATTTATCAGTAGACCATTATTATTATAAATGGATGAGATTGATTGGCGACTCTCTTGTTGTTTTAGTTTTAGAGCAAGCATTTTGCCTGCTTTATCTCCAGACTCATAGAATTGCTTTCGTAGCTTAAAAAGTGCATACGCGAAATGTCTCCCTTCTAATTCACTTCACTCAGAGTTGTATTTAGAGTGATTCAGACATGTCAACGTAATCTTTATTCTTCTGTGATTAAAACACTATTTCTCCCAGTGCTCTGCTTTGTTTTGTTTTAACTATAGAGCAATCACAATAAAATGACAATAATTTCTTGTATTGTCACTGCACACACTGAGTTCTTTCAGAATAATGATGTTGGACTGTGTATTTGACTGTGAGAAAGCTGTACTAGGATATGATGTAAAAATATAACACTGCTTTTCATATTCATATTATTTATTGGATTTTCAGATCACTAAAGGTTCATTATTTACTTTAGTGGAGTTTTTGTTCAGCTCCTCCATGTGACTCTCTCACTGTGCTTCTCGGGCACAGTAGTACACAGCCGTGTCCTCAGTCTGGAGGTTGTTCATCTGCAGATACAGCTGGTTTCTGCTGTTGTCTCTGGAGATGGTGAACCTGCCTTTCACTGACTCAGAGTAATAAGTAGTGCCCCCCATCACCGCTAATGTAAGCCAGCCACTGCAGCCCCTTCCCAGGAGCCTGTCTGATCCAGCTCATGTAATAGCTGCTAAATGTGAACCCAGATGTTGTACAGGTCAGTCTGTGGGACTCTCCTGGTCTTTTCACAGCTGGACCAGATTCAGTCAGAGTCTGAGCAAAGACACCTGTGGAAACAAGCCAAAACTGTATTCAAATTCATCCTGCTGTCATTTACCAGTATTAGTCCAGAGCAACAGTTCACCTGTCCAGTATGTGACAAACACAAGTGCTGTCCTGTAGTCCATTTTGTTCAAGTGTCCACAGCTCTGTTTCCTCTCCACACAGAGTTAAATAGAGGAGAGGATTTCAGGTTTGCATTGGCTCCTCCCCAGTGACAATTGTTGATACATGTTTGAAGGCTCTGAGGAGTAAATACCCAAGAATTACAGAATACAGTTTGGTTGTTTTGCACGTTTCAAGCACCAGGGCCTGAGCTGCTGCTACACTGAGCAGTGAAGTAGTTCAAATTAGGCTAAAACAATAGTGTAAATTCACCAAACACAATGGCAAACATGTCCTTATTCATTTGAGAGAACGCTGAATCCATCATGCATTTCAGCACATTTGTAGAGTCTAAAACTACACAGTTAACAGGTGTACAGAATATGACCCACAGAGACACAGATATTTCTTGTTTGGAGTTGTAAAAATGTCTTAAAATTCCATAGTTAAAAACAGGTACAATAATTATCATGAAGTCTAACACAACTTTATTGAGAGTCCATCGTTAAATTAACACTAACAAGAGTCAAAATAGACTGCAGAAATCTGTGATAAAGAGGAAAACAGGCAAAATAATGTAATGTAATCAATGTACATCACATTATTTCAACTTAAAGTAACATGTTTTTTTAATGCCAACTTTTTAACCACTCATTTGAAACAGTAACTGTAACTGATATACAGTTACTCATAATATGTTTTACTTCTTTTAAATAAATTACATAATCATTCTTGCTCAGTACATTGTAATTGTTACTCTGCCAAAGCATAATAAATAATAATAATAATAATAATAATAATAATAATAATAATAATAATAATAATAATAATAATAATAATAATAATAATAATAATAATAATAATAATAATGGAACTGTCCCCTGCAGGTTCCTAAAATTTCACATTATGAATAAAGCCTCATCTTCCATCTAAGCCCAGACAATAAAAACAGTTTTATCTTGTAACAAATGACATGTATCTTTCAAATGCTTAAGTATTATATACATAAATATATATATATATATAATATATTATATTTAAATTTGTCACAGTTCGGGGGTGGTGGACTTTTACGTCATTTATAATCAAATGGCACCGGTTATTTTGAACAAAGCTTAGATCATTTAGATTTTATAGTGATTTGAAAGGTAAAATATGTATAATATTTGTAACTGCTTGTGGTTGTGATCTTAACATAGAAAAATAAAAATGGTAAATTTTCTTGTATTTGTGTTAGAGTGAATGTCCAGTCTGTGTTTGAGAGGAACATCCACAGCAGCTCTTGGTTGGATGTTTTTGTACATGAGCTTCATTCTTCCTGTCACTGTGCTCTTCGGGCACAGTGTAACAGCAGTGTCTTCTCTGTCAGACCTGTGATCTCATGTATGCTTGACATTTTTCAGAGTGAAGCTGTTCACTCTGTTATTTCCTGTCACTTGTCCTGGCTCTGTCGCAGTGCAGTCAGTAGTAACACAGTTTCTCAGTGTGCTGTCTGATCTCTGTCACCTCAGTACATGAATTTAATTAGTCAAATTATGTTAATTGCGATTAATTAATTACAGTCATATTTCCGTTATGTTTTTTAATGTTAATCTCATTTTTAATCTTAACTTTAGTGTTTGTATGTGTTTCTTTATTATAAAACCTGCTTATGTGTTGTTGGGACAACAACCACACACACATTACAAAACACATTTATAATTTTTTTTATTTCACTAATTCCACTCATTGCCGGAAAGCCACCAAATCGCAGTAACAGCGATGTAAATTAACGTTGGCGGCATCAGTGCACAATGGACGAGGTCGAAGAGCAGTAGAACAGAGTCGCAGTGCACAGGTAAAAAACATTCGTGTCTTGGAAATTATTCTCCCGACGTGAAATATAAAAGAAAATAACAAATATAATATGAAAACAACCTGCATAGACTCATGATGTCTGCACTGTTTATGACCTGCCACTGACAAACAAAAACAACAAACAAAACAAAACAAAACACACCTTCATCATGTCATTAACTGAAACGCGCGGACCACGTTTCCTTCCGTAGACACTGCGCGGACACCGACTGCTGCCGTGAGCCCGTGTGGATCGTGTTTTCTCGTACGCCGTAAACCGCGCTTCCTCCTGTGCGCCTCTAAACCAGAACTAACACCAAGACTAAAACCAGGACTAAACCAGGTCTAAACCAGGACTAAAACCAGAATAAAATCAGAACTAAAACCAGGTCTAAACCAGTCTAAACCAGGACTAAACCAGAATAAAACCAGAACTAAAACCAAACTAAAACCAGGTTAAACCAGGACTAAACCAGGTAAACCAGTCTAAACCAGTTAAAAGTAAACCAGGATAAACCAGACTAAACCAGGATAACACCAACTAAACCAGGTCTAAACAGGTCTAAACAGGACTAAACCAGAACTAAAACCATAAAACAGAACTAAAACCAGGTCTAAACCAGGACTAAACCAGGCAGTCTCCAGTCTAACCAGGACTTAAACCAGGACTAACACCAGGACTAACACCAGACTAAACCAGTCTAAAAGACTAAAACCAGTGATCTCATATATAAAGCATTTCTCTATCAATAATATTTTTAATATGGTTAAGGACTTTTTATTGTCTTTAAGTAGACAAAAGTTATTATGTTCAGATTTCCTCGTCTTTGCTACTTTCAGTTTCACACTTGCTCACCTGTTAAACACTTTATAAAGAAAAAATACATGAATTTAATTTTACACTCAAACATTTTCAAATCACAATTCAAATGTCATAATTATTAAAGTCTTACAGTGAATTGTAGCTATAAATAATAATGTTAGTAGAAGATATTTTGCCATTTTGAAAAACAGATTTGTGTTCGATGTTGCAGTTCAATCTGGTTTCTGTGGCACAGAATAACTTAGTGGTGCTTTTAAAGTGTGTATAATTTGCATATACAGTAACTCCCTCTGCTGGACACAGACAGTAATGCTGATTGTAATTTCATTGTTTGTTCTCTCATTCAATGACAACAATCAAACTATAGTGTAATGAAAGATTATGTCATAATTAGTGCTAAATTGGGAACATTCATGTGTTTCAGATGCTTCTTCTTCTCATAAGACAATTTTAATAGAAACAGTTTTCTTATCAAAATGTTAAGTTTATTTATATTCATGGAAAAACAAGAATATCTGACATCAATTCATTGAGTGTTTATGGTGACAATAGTGATAGTGGAAACACTGCACTATTTTTAGCCAGTAGAGAAGAGCACAGTGAACAGAGGAAGTAGTTTTTGTCCCAGCGCTCTGTTATTCTGTCTCATTGTGTCTCTTCTGGCACAGTAATACAGCGCAGTGTCCTCTGTCCTCAGACCGCTCATCTGCAGATACACCTGGCTGCTGGAGTCGTCTCTGGAGATGGTGAAGCGTCCCTCCACTGACTTGGAGTAGTAGAGGTGGAGTACTGGTATGTGTACACCAATGCAATCCACTCCAGTCCTTTACCTGGAGCCTGTCTCACCCAGTTCCATGCATAACTGCTGAAGTCTAACCCAGAGGTAGTACATGTGAGTCTATGGGATTCTCCAGGACGTTTGATGGCTGATCCAGACTCTGTTATGGACCAGGCATGAACAATATTGAAAAGGCACACAGCACACAGCAGTATAGTGAAGTGTGTAACAGCCATTGTAGCACAGTGCTGCTGTCAACAGTGTGGTTCTCATTTATATATCAGCTTTACTCAAGCTCCTCCCACTATCCAAACTATGACCATAAACCCAAATTTATGAAAAACATGAATGAAAAGTAAATATTTTAAACACACAACCAGTCAAAAGTTCAGACACACTTCTTCATTTTGCTCTTTCTTTATTTTCATGATTATTTACATTGTGGATTCTAACTGAAAGTATAAAAACTATGAATGAATATATATGGAATGTTGAAAAGAAAAATAACCTTGATATAACTGCAGACTTCTTTTAGAATTTTAGATTTTAAAGAGGGCATATTGCACTTCTGTGGGATATTAACCACACATGAACACAACATATTCAGATCACCATGTTACGATTGTTTTTCAAAATTCTGTAATCATAAAAAAAGGTATTAATTTGTTTTTTATAAGTTTCAGTTCAGTTTTTGACGTCCTCCTTTTCTCGTTCTTCATTTTACATTCGACTAATGAAACAGCTGCACTTCACATTTGGTTTGTGAAGTTGTAGTGTTTGTTTTGTGTCATACTTTTCTTTATTAGTGGAAAGTTGTTGTGTGGGAGCATGGGTGACATAGGCTTGTGGGCTGAGCTTTGGATAGGATCGTATTTGCCAATCCTAAGGAGGGTTTGAGGCTCGGGAGAGAGCGCTAGATTACTTAAACATGCACGGGTGACATTTAAAACCTCTTCAGGTGTGATTTTGATTATAACATGATAGATGATAGCTCCAAAAAGTCAATTTTGCATAATACCCCTCTTTAAAAATACCAACACTTTGCACTGATCACTACTTTGCACTCTTGGCATTACCTGACCCTGATAAGGCACATCTGTGAAGAGAAAACCATTTCAGGACACATCATTGAGAGAAGTCCTAGGGTTTGAGATCAACAAAATAAAGAGTGGCTACTTTGAGGAATTTGAATACAAAACATTAAACATATGAAGTTGAGTTATTTATCAACTTGTCAACACACTTTACTTCATATATTTCATGTATGCCGCATGTATTTATGTTTACTACTTCATACATTGTAAAGAAAAAACATGGTGATATTATATTAGCATGTAATAATATGTGATGGTCTCCTTTAGATGAAGTAGAAAACACAATGAATATGATCTGAGATTTGCCATATCACAACTCTCCTTTGGTTATTGCAGCTGAAAGAAAATGGATGAGAAAGTGTAACAAAGTATTTCCAACTCCATGTGATTTTGACTCAGAGCTTTTCTTTATAACAATCTATACATAGTTATAACACATAAATATGGAAGGATTGTAGATGCTCCTGCACTCATGTTTTTGTCATGGTGTTTTTCACTGTGGCCGCTGCTATATGCACAATGATTCACCTCTGCACAGAAACACTGAACTGTCTGTCTGTCACTCTAACTGCTGCTCAGCTCGAGCTCAGGACGATTTCATTATTAGTCTAATTTCACTGTGAAACCACTTTACTAATTCTTAAATTTGTATATATGTTAACTTGAACCACCTTCTTAAACTTATTTTTTAGAATTCAACGTAAATGTTAGAAAACTTTTGAAATCACTTTCCCCATACACATTTATGATCATTATCACTATTATTTATTTCATTTTTTTTCTACATCAAATACAATTTTCTGCATTCAGTCTTTTACCTGGTGTCCACACATAGAAAAAGTCTCTCATGTTGCTGTGTGACTGGTTTGCTGTGATGATCACACAGAAGAAGTCATTTGGTCTTCATCCTGAGAAAGAAAAAGCCTGAATTTATATAATGCGTTAAGAAAAAAATGTCTGACTTAAGATCATATCATGTTCATTGTCTTTGTCATTGTCAGATGAACAATTCTTGATCTCAACTCATTATGGACCAAGCAGCACATGTGGGATATACTGATAAACTGTGCATAGGACGCCCTCTCTGGTACTTACTGTGAATTGCACTCTTTACTGTTTTTGTACAGCTCTACATATACTTTGTGTGACTGTGGCTCTCGAGCACAGTAGTACACTGCAGTGTCTCCAGGCTGCATGTTCTGTCCATTCAGAGTCACTGTTTTTGTGGAAGTGTCTAAATCAATACTGAATTTGCTCTTCAGAGAATCTTTATAGTCAGAGCCTCCTGTGTATTTCCTTCCAATCCACTCCAGGCCTTTCCCAGCAGGTTGTCTGATCCAGTGTGTAGCATAACTACTAACAGAGTATGAGACAGTACAGGGGATGGTGAGAGTGTGTCCTGGCTGCACAGTCACAGAGGTTGGCTGTGTCAGTGTCTCACACTTCACACCTGTGGAGGACAGAAATGTGTTGAGGAGATGCTTCAATAACAGGAGCATTGTGTGTAAGTGGAGCTGATGTTGAGTGTGAAAGAGGAAAACTCACAGATCAGACAGAGAGAGCAGCCCACAGCAGAGTGAGTGTGTCCATCCTGAGACTGCACATGTGAGCGAGGAGGAGCAGCAGCACACTATGTACTGTACACACATTTACATCTGCTCTGCATACACTCCTCCTCTCACTGACACAATGAAAAAACTCCCATATAATGAACAACAAACTGAAAATGCATGTTATTTTCATACTATTAATATACTAACATTTCCACAATATATTGCACTTGTTGATTATTAGTCATCATTATTTTTTTTTATCACATCACAGTTTTAATATATTCACAGTAAAGAATGTACTAAGATCTGTAATAGTCCAGTGTTTCCTAGACAAAATGTTGCCGCACACTGATAATACTGAAATTAAACAATGTCCACAATCCATATTTAATTATCAAAAGTAAACAATAGACCTGATGCTAAAATGTCTACAGTTTATTGAAATTATACTTAGGTTAACATTAGCAGCATGTATGATCTTGGTTGGCTTCAGCAGCAGTGAGAATGTTTCAGAGCATTATGGCATCGGACAGGGCTGCTCTTTATCAACTATTCATTTTGGCTACGTTCAGACTGCAGGGCTTAACGCTCAATTCCGATTTTTTTGTGAAATCCGATGCTTTTGCAAGTTCGTTCACATTTCCAATTAAATGCGACTTGTATGTGATCCCCTGTGTGAACGTTAAACGGCCCTAAAGTGTCCCGCATGTGCACTGGAGACACGACGACGTCAACCGCAGCGAGCGTGCTCTGTGTTTACAGAAGTTGTCCAAACATGGTCGCGAGCATTGAGCACCTGGCGATTTTAAAGTTCCTCTTGTACCTGAGCCAGAACATGAGCAACTTATTTGTTTTAAGGAGGAGATTGAGAAGGAGAAGGACGAGGTTTTTGGCCGTGGTGTTTTGTGGGACAGCAGCAGCGACGTCTGTTGAAAGGAACGTGTGGATGTGGAGACGTAGTCAAGAGTGGTGAGTGGTGATGTGTTTCACTTCAGTGACACGGAGTTCATTAACAATTTTCGCCTACTTCAGCGCAGAATAGTGATGTTTGTGGCTTGTTGATAACGTGTAAGTCGAATGAATGCGCTTTGACTGTTCACACTGAAGTCGCATGTCAAAAGATCGGATATGTATCGGTTTCAGGACCACATATCCAAGTGTCCTGGGTCGCATTTGAAAAAAATCGTCATTAAAAGATCAGATACAGGTCACATAGAAGCCAAAAAATTGGATTTGGGTCACTTCAGGCTGCAGTCTGAACGTAGCCTTAGTTACATTTATAAAAAGAATTTCAGTTTTATTAAAAGACAAGATCAGAAAAATCATATTATTGAAACTGACTGCAATAGTTCTTTTTATCATTCAAACAGGTCTAGTAATGCTAGTATTGACCCACTTCTATCATGGGTTTATTTCAAACATTTTTTAAATGTAATTCTATTTGCCTGATGTAAAATAATAATAATTTTAATAGACTTCCGCTCTGTCATCTCAGTTTGTGTACAGCTGTGGAGCTCTCTGCACCACTGTGCCTCTCGTGCACAGTAATAAACAGCCGTATCTCCTTCCTTTGCACTGTGAAGTTGTAAATACACAGTGTTTGTTGAAGTGTCTTTTGTGATAGAAAACTGGCCCTGGACACTTTGAGCAAATATGGTGCCTGTTCCACTGTCAATGCGACCGATCCAGTCCAGTCCTCGCCCTGGTTTCTGACGAATCCAGTGCAGCCAAGCTAAAGAGAGCCCCTCCACTTTACAGGACAGTGAGACAGACTGTCCCGGGCTGGTGACCACTGGCTCTGAAGAGGTCAGAGACTGGGCCTGGACCACTGGAAAACACAGAGAGTTGAAATGGTGTAAAGTGCTGTTTGTGCTGTAGATGTGTTCAGTGTCTGTACCCACCTGGAATAAGAGCCCAGAGGAACACAGTCACTGCTCTCCCCATCATAGTGGAAACTTGAGGAGCTCTGCAAAGACTCACTTTCACTTGGGCTCTATAAAGAGAGTGGGTGTGGCAACGTTCTGACTATTTACAAGTATTTGCTTAATTCAAGTAAATCTGTCAGCATTCAAATATCTAAAATTAAGCATATTATCATATTTTACACTTGACCCATTTGATTATCTTATTATTGCTCGTGAAATCAACTTCAGTTTTCATGAATACAGAGAAATTTACTGAAAGATTACCAAAAGATGTACTAGTCTGTTCATATGTAGTCCCAGGTTATAAGACTGTATACTGTTCTGATAATGTGTAGTTGAATTACCTTTTCTTTAATGAGCTTTACAGTCTGTTAGGGGCCGACACTGTGATTGTGCACAGTGACATGTACGATTCAGCAGCGTCACAGTGCGGCACTTTACACTGTTACTATGATGTTTATCAGGTCATTTTACTTCATTATTGCTGCATTTATAGTATCTTCTCTCTTTAATGTCTCTATTTCTTTTTGAATTTTATGATGATTATTTATGTTTTGATTTGTTTGTATTGCAATTTTCATGTATTTCTTATTCTGTAAATCACTTTGAATTACTTTGTGTATGAGCTGTACTATACAAATAAACTTGCCTTGCCATGGCATTTACTTCACAGATTGAGATGGAGTGTGAAAAGATTTGGAGTAAAACATCCCCCTGCAGGACCCCAATATATTTTACACAACACTATGGCCCTAGTCTAGACAAACATACAGGTGTGTTTTCAGTTGCTCTGTAATGACATTTGTTTAAAGAATAAACTAGAAGTGCTCATATAAAGAGTGAATGACTCAAAAATTAGGAATCTCCAAATCATTTTTTTCCAACAATATTTTAAAAAGTACATTTCTGATCATTTGAAATCAGGTAAAAAAAATGCAGTTGAATTAACAGAATCCAGTTTCATGTTAAAATCATACATCCATTTATATTTATGGGTATATAAATAAAAGGTAAAGTTTGAATCGTGTTGCCTCAAGTTTTTGTTTTTCTTTGTGGCATTAGTGCTGAAAATTGGTGAAGCATCACACTATTTTTAGCCAGTAGAGAAGAGCACAGTGAAGAGAGGAAGTAGTTTTTGTCCCAGCGCTCTGTTATTCTGTCTCATTTTGTCTCTTCTGGCACAGTAATACAGCGCAGTGTCCTCTGTCCTCAGACCGCTCATCTGCAGATACACCTGGCTGCTGGAGTCGTCTCTGGAGATGGTGAAGCGTCCCTCCACTGACTTGGAGTAAAAGAAGTGACTACTGCCAGTGTGCACAAATGCAATCCACTCCAGACCTTTACCTGGAGCCTGTCTCACCCAGTTCCATGTATGGTTTGCTGAAGTCAAACCCAGAGGTAGTACATGTGAGTCTATGGGATTCTCCAGGACGTTTGATGGCTGATCCAGACTCTGTTATGGACCAAGCATGAACAATATTGAAAAGGCACACAGCACACAGCAGTATAGTGAAGTGTGTAACAGCCATTGTAGCACAGTGCTGCTGTCAACAGTGTGGTTCTCATTTAAATATCAGCTTTACTCAAGCTCCTCCCACTATCCAAACTATGACCATAAACCCAAATTTATGAACAACTTGATGAAAATAAATATTTAAATATGTATTTACATATTATATAATAAGTGCTGGAGGCTGAATAAAGGAGGCTGTCAGTGAGAGAAATTTAAAAGTATCTTAGAAGAAATTCAGATGAGAGAGTGAAACAAGATATTTTCAACTCCATATGACTTTGATTCAGAGAAGTTTAGTTTACAGCTCTATGTATGTATGTAGAAATATGTCAGGACTCTAGATGTTCTTGGAGTCATGTTTTTGTCATGGTGTTTTTCACTGTGGTAGCTGCCATGTGCACAGTGACACACCTCTGCACATAAACACCCTGTCTGTCTGTCTGTCTGTCTGTCTGTCTGTCTGTCTGTCACTCTAACTGCTGCTCAACTATAGGGAGGATTCCATTATAGATCTATTTCACTGTCAAACAAATCTACTTTTGGGCTCACAGTCACCTCAAACATTGGTGTCAAAAAACAAATAAAAACAAGTACTTTTTTTTTTTTTTTTTTATGAAAACTGAAACATTTTGAGACACTTTTGGAATTACTTTGTAAAAAGAAGTAAACATTTTTGATCAACTTGGCCTTTCCCCGTTAGAGCAATAAAGGACACCAGGTCTGTAGCTGCTACCACAGTGAGGAGTGAAGCAGTTCAAATAAACATTAAAAACAGAGGAGTCATGTTTTGCAGTTTTAATTCACACCGTGGAGTCACTGTAACTGCTGCTCAACTGTGGCTCAGGAGGATTTTAGTTTTAGTCAAATTTCTCTGCAAAGGTTAAGCACAAATCAAGAAATGTTATAAGGGGTCAGATTTAAAATAGCTACATTACAATAGCTAAACAAAAATTCAGAACTTAAGAAGCTGCTCAGATGAAAACTCAGAAAGCTTTTGTCCAGTCCAGAATTGATTTTTTCTTTTACTGTGGATCCTACCTGGACGACTGATGAATTAAACAAACAGCTGCATTACTACTTTAAAATAACTCATATATATCAAGACTTAAATAATTAATTAGTAAACAAAGATTTAATTTATAATAAACAAATTGTTAATATAGTATTTGCTCATCGTGAATTATGTTTTTATTTGTGTTTAAGATGAATTAATCTGCATTTATTATAAAGTGTGACTCAATATTCTAGAACCACCTGCACTTAAAGCTTCAGTGACATTTTGCTGTGTATAGGGCGACCCCTCTGGTTGTTATTGTGAATTGCACCCTTTAATGTTTTTGTACAGTTGTAGATATACTTTGTGTCACTGTGCTCTCGGGCACAGTAGTACACAGCCGTGTCCTCAGTCTGGAGGTTGTTCATCTGCAGATACAGCTGGTTTCTGCTGTTGTCTCTGGAGATGGTGAACCTGCCTTTCACTGACTCAGAGTAATAAGTAGTGCTCCCACCGCTCCATATGTAAGCCAGCCACTGCAGCCCCTTCCCAGGAGCCTGTCTGATCCAGCTCATTTCATAGCTGCTAAATGTGAACCCAGATGTTGTACAGGTCAGTCTGTGGGACTCTCCTGGTCTTTTCACAGCTGGACCAGATTCAGTCAGAGTCTGAGCAAAGACACCTGTGGAAACAAGCCAAAACTGTATTCAAATTCATCCTGCTGTCATTTACCAGTATTAGTCCAGAGCAACAGTTCACCTGTCCAGTATGTGACAAACACAAGTGCTGTCCTGTAGTCCATTTTGTTCAAGTGTCCACAGCTCTGTTTTCTCTCCACACAGAGTTAAATAGAGGAGAGGATTTCAGGTTTGCATTGGCTCCTCCCCAAAGTTTATATATCACCACATGTTTTGGTTATGAAAATAGATGGTGGCAGGATGGTTGGTGGTTTAAGCAGCACACCTTTCAAAACACCCAAAGTGCTTTTAAATTGCATTATTCATTCATTCTCCACACACAGGGTTTGTAAGCCAAGTTTTACATGCTATTTATTTATTGATTTATTTATCATAAAATATAAATTCAGAGTTTGTCCCTACTGCTAAATTCAACTGAAATCACAAACACATAAAATTTCAAAATGCATTTTTAGAAACAGATAGTTAAAGTGTGAAGAGTTATAGGGCCAAAACTGTCCCTTGTGGGTCCAAACATTACATATCAAGATAATACAATACAATATAATAATATAATACTATAATTCTGCTGTCAGACCTGTGATCTTCATGTACTGGGTGCTGCTGGGGACAATTTCAGTCAGAGTGAAGTGTTGAAAAGCGCTGATGTAAGAAATTAAAACTGTTCCATGGTCATGTTGCCAGCTTATTATTTTAACACTGTATTTTACTGTATGGAACTTTTTTATTTTTATTGGTTATGGTTCACTGTATTTAACAATATTTAATTATTTATTTATTCAGTTAGTGTCAATTATTCACTGTTTTTTTACAGAACCACGTTGTTACTGTCATGTTTTATTAGCTCTATAAATCTTATATCCAAAATATTATTCTATTCTACCTACACTACAATATGTTTGTATTATGTGTTTCACCAGGGCTCTTCTATTCTTCAACTACTTCTAATGCACATGAATAAATGGTGAAAACAGATTTACCTCTGTCATCATTTGAAGAGTGCAAACATCAAAATCTTGCATTTCATTTATTATTCATGGGTATAAATTGGACATTTTAATCAAATCAATCAAATATTTCCGTTGTGAGAATACTGCTAAAACTGGTGAAACATCCCACTATTTTTAATGTATTGTCTCCTGAAAAAAAAAAAAAAATCAGTCATGTTTTTGCTCCACTGCTGCTGATAACTAATGCTGCAACATCAGGAGGATTTCATGATCACTGACACACACACAACTAGAATCTGAACAGACACACACTTGAATCAAATGTGATGTTTTAATTGTTGTTTGTTGTTTTCATGTTTGTCTTGTGAATCTAGTTAGTCCATGAATGAGGCAGTGCTGTTTCTATTTTTTTCTTCGTGTTATGCACATGAAACATGACACAGGTTATAAACAAATGAAAATGATTTGATCTAAATCTATGAGTCATTGTTCACTGATATGTCTATCTGTAGATGACACACAAACANCAGTTAGTGTCAATTATTCACTGTTTTTACAGAACCACGTTGTTACTGTCGTGTTTTATTAGCTCTATAAATCTTATATCCAAAATATTATTCTATTCTACCTACACTACAAATATGTTTGTATTATGTGTTTCACCAGGGCTCTTCTATTCTTCAACTACTTCTAATGCACATGAATAAATGGTGAAAACAGATTTACCTCTGTCATCATTTGAAGAGCACAAACATCAAAATCTTGCATTTTGTTTTATTCATGGGTATAAATTGAACATTTTAATCAAATCAATCAAATATTTCCGTTGTGAGAATACTGCTAAAACTGGTGAAACATCCCACTATTTTTAATGTATTGTCTCCTGAAAATAAAAAAAGTCAGTCATGTTTTTGTCAAGGTGTTTTTCACTGTGGTAGCCGCTGCCACTATAAACTCACCGTGATCCACCTCTGCACATAAACTCCCCCTGCTGTTTGTCACTATAACTAATGCTGCAACATCAGGAGGATTTCATGATCACTGACACACACACAACTAGAATCTGAACAGACACACACTTGAATCAAATGTGATGTTTTAATTGTTGTTTGTTGTTTCATGTTTGTCTTGTGAATCTAGTTAGTCTAGTCTAGTATTATGCACATAAAACAATGACACAGGTTATAAACAAATGAAAATGATTTGATCTAAATCTATGAGTCATTGTTCACTGATATGTCTATCTGTAGATGACACACAAACACATGAGAGAGTCACAGGGAGGAGCTGAACAAAAACTACACTGGAAATAAAGACAGTTCTGATCTGTTAGTGGTCTAAATGGATCCATAAAACCAATAAATATTAATACCATTTTCATCTTCTGACGTTACATTCTGTTACAGCTTTCTCACTGTCAAACACAAAACATAACAGTATCCTGAAAGAAATCATTGCTATTTCATTTTGTCCACTATATAGATATAACATAGTAAAAGCAGAGCAGTGGGGGTGTTAGGGGGATGTTATAGACGCACCGGGACACGGGCTGCATCTGTGGATAAAGTAATATAGAGACTTGAGTTCAGGTTGCATGTTGCTGTGCTGTAGTTGAAGTTTAAAATACTTTAACTATGACCTGAGTATTGCCATATCACAACTCTCCTCTGGTGATTGTAGCTGATGGAAAACTAACACATATAAAAGAATCTTGGATGAAAGAATGAAACTAAATATTATCAGCTCCATGTGCATTATGATTTTAACTTAGAGTTTGTTTGTTTTTTTGTGGTTTATAGCTCTATAGCTGTAGAAGTATTTCAGGATTGTAGATGCTCCTGCACTCATGTTTTTGTCATGGTGTTTTTCACTGTGGCCGCTGCTATATGCACAATGATTCACCTCTGCACAGAAACACTGAACTGTCTGTCTGTCACTCTAACTGCTGCTCAGCTCGAGCTCAGGACGATTTCATTATTAGTCTAATTTCACTGTGAAACCACTTTACTAATTCTTAAATTTGTATATATGTTAACTTGCACTAACTTTTTTAAACTTATTATAGAATTTAACTTAAATGCTAGAAAACTTTTGAAATAATCTTTTTTCCCCATACACATTTATGATCATTATCAATATTATTTTTAGTTTTTTTTTTCTACATATAAATACAGTTTTCTGTATTCAGTCTTTTACCTGGTGTCCACACATAGAAAAAGTCTCTCATGTTGCTGTGTGACTGGTTTGCTGTGATGATCACACAGAAGAAGTCATTTGGTCTTCATTCTGAGAAAGAAAAAGCCTGAATTGACATAATACATGAAGTATAAAATGTCTGACATAAGATCATATCATGTTTATTGTCTTTGTCATTGTCAGATGAACAATTCTTCCTGATCCCAACTCATTATGGACCAAGCAGCACATATGGGATAAACTGATAAACTGTGCATAGGACGCCCTCTCTGGTACTTACTGTGAATTGCACTCTTTACTGTTTTTGTACAGCTCTACATATACTTTGTGTGACTGTGTGATACCGAGCACAGTAGTACACTGCAGTGTCTCCAGGCTGCATGTTCTGTCCATTCAGAGTCACTGTGTTACTGGAGGAATCTACATTTAAACTGAATTTGCTCTTCAGTGAATCTTTATGGTGAGTGCCTCCTGTGTATTTCATTCCAATCCACTCCAGGCCTTTCCCAGCAGGCTGTCTGATCCATGCTGTGTAGTAGCTGCTAACAGAGTATGAGACAGTACAGGGGATGGTGAGAGTGTGTCCTGGCTGCACAGTCACAGAGGTTGGCTGTGTCAGTGTCTCACACTTCACACCTGTGGAGGACAGAAATGTGTTGAGGAGATACTTCAATAACAGGAGCATTGTGTGGAAGTGGAGCTGATGTTGAGTGTGAAAGAGGAAAACTCACAGATCAGACAGAGAGCAGCCCACAGCAGAGTGAGTGTGTCCATCCTGAGACTGCACATGTGAGCGAGGAGGAGCAGCAACACACTATGTACTGTACACACATTTACATCTGCTCTGCATACACTCCTCCTCTCACTCAGTCACACAGTCATGGAAAAGGACCAATAGTGTATAAATTGTATATGCATCTGCTCAGAGGAATTTTCATAATATTCATTTAACATCATGTTTATTATATGACAAGTTGACTTTTTATTGCTAAGCAAATACTAGTTGAAAAGAAGATTTTTTTTTCTTTGTAATTGAATTTTCTTTTTTTTTTTCTTTTTGAAATTATAGTTTGTTCATTGTCAGCAGCATGTGTGATCTTGTTTAGCTTTAACAGAAATAAAAATGATATGAGTCAGAACATTTTGGAACCAGACAGGACTGCCTTTATCACCTGTTCATTTTGTCTCGACAATGAACATTACATTACTTACATTTTAGTGAAACATTAAGATTAAACAAGTTATCATATTATTGAAACTTATTACAGTTGTTGCTTTCATCACTCTAATATGTCTCATAATGCTGTTATGTAAAAAGAACAAACTTGTTAAATGTTTTATTTCTAACATGTTTTAAAATGTATTTCAATATAAAGAGAGTGGGAGTGGATGCTCTCTAAGAATTTACATTTCATTTTTAAGTATTTGCTTATTGCAAGAAAAACTGTCAATGTTGTCATCTTTTCAACAATATCAGCTATTCCAAACTGACTTCTATGACTTAGAAATATTCAATATGAATGTATGACTAAAATTATGTTTAGGATGCTTTATGAATTTATCATTTTAGTATTAGACTAGAGTTGGTCTTAAATGCCACTTCAGTTGTCATAATCACAGAGAAATTTACTGAAAGATTATTAACCTGCTAACATGTACTTCTGTGTTATATTACTGTTCTGTATATGTGTATGATGTATATAGTTGAATAGCCTGTTGTGCTTTACTCTCTGTTAGGGGCTGACTCTGTGTTTTTGTACAGCTCTGCTGTTGCTCTGAGTCACTGTGATCGCACACAGTAATAAACAGCTGAGTCTTCAGGCTGCAGCCTCTGTCCTTGAATAGTCACTGTTCCTGCAGACGTGTCTCTGCTCAGACTGAACTTGTTCTTCAGAGCATCGTTCTGGTAGAAGTTACCTCCTCCCCACTGATGGAAAATCCACTCCAGTTTGCCCTCTCTCTGTCTGATCCAGCCTGTGGCATAGCTGCTGTCAGTGAGAGAGTAACCAGAGACCCGACAGCTGATGGTCAGAGTCTGAGCAGGCTGCAGCAGCACTGAGCCTGGCTGGAGGAGCTCCACACAGTCCACTGTACCTGTGGAAAGACAACATCATCATCACACTCATTCTCCTACAGGGGGCGCTGCTGTGAAGGTCAGGAAGTGTTCTTACAGGAAGCAGCTGCCAGCAGCAGGAGCACAGCCACAGACAACATGACTCAAGTGTGTGTGTCCCTCTCTCCACTCGCCTTATATCACTCTGGGATTTGCATATGCATGAATACACCAGTACAGATTTTACTACACACAACTGTGTCATTGGTTAAATCTATCTAGTTTGAAGTTAATTCAAAGTATTAATTCACTCAGTTTGACTTTTTAAAAGGAGGCATGTTATGCCAGTGTGACTTTCTTATTTTTCTTATTTATTTTTCTTATTTCTTATTTCTTATTTCTTATTTATGTTTATTTATTTCGGACAGTAATACATAGAACATAAATTAAAAAAACAAAACTAAAAACTAAATAATAAAAAAAAAGACAAAAACGTAAATACATAGATATAACACAAAAAGTAACTATTTCTATTCTATAATAACAGGCAAAATAAATGTTACGCAGAATTTTAATGTGTCCGAAAAAGGAGTGGGAGGAAGTAAATACTTATTTAACCCCACCCCTTTTTTTCTACAATCCCAAATTAACGAAGAACAAATACAAATTCTTGTACATTATAAGCAATAATTGCACAGTACCTCCATTGCATTACAATCTAACAGACAACAACAAATATATGTATATTATGTACACAGATATAGTACACATCATATACACAGATATAATATATACATACCTACATACACATCACATACCCATGCATATCTATCTATCTATATATATATATATATATATATATATATATATATATATATATATATATATATATATATATATATATATATATATATATATATATATATATATACATATATACACCCATATACATACATATACACATATACCCTAAGCACTCATTTCTTCTGCACAGTATTTTGAAATAATTAATTTTTTAATTGCCCTTTTGAATACATGTATATTCGAACAAAGTTTTAATTCTATTTTCAAGTTGTTCCATAATTTCACCCCACAAACAGAGACACAAAAACTTTTTCTTGTCGTTCGAGCACGAGGCAATTTAAAATTCAAAACGCCTCTTAAGTTATAGTTTGTTTCCCTTTCACAAAAAAGTAGTTGAAGATTTTTTGGTAAGTGCTTATTTTTAGCTTTTATACATGACTTGTGCAGTTTGGTACAGAATCAAATCATTCAGTTTGAGTAATTTGGCATGAATAAACAGTGGATTAGTGTGGTCATGAAATTTGACATTATAAACAATTCTTATTGCTTTTTTTTTGAAGTTTTATCAATGGTTCTATTGCAGTTTTATAGTTATTGCCCCAAATTTCTGCACAGTATGTTAAATATGGTAAAACCAGTGAACAATAAAGTGTGTAACAAAATAAATTTGTGTCATCTGCAAATAACACTGCTTTAAACAATGTAGACACTTTGCATAGATCGTTAATATATAAAATAAATAATTTAGGTCCTAACATGGACCCTTGTGGCAGGCCACAGACAATGTCCTCATGTGAAGAGCAGTGTTCACACCCAGTTTGACAAATTGTTTTCGGTTTACTAAATAACTTTTTAGCCACTTTAAAGCTACCCCTCTTATTCCATACCTTTCCATTTTTTTAAATAGTAATTGATGATTTATTGTGTCAAAAGCCTTTTTTAAATCTATGAATATACCCGCTATTATTCTCCTTTGATCAATGTGATTGGTTATTGCTTCAATTGAGTCCATCAGAGCGAGTGATGTTGATCTGCTTGTTCTGAAACCGTACTGACTTATCGCTGAGGAGGTTGTGTTGACCTATGAATTTTTCCAGTCTAGTGTTGTAGAGCTGTTCTAATATTTTTGAGAATTGTGGTAGTAGAGAAACTGGTCTGTAGTTGGTAAATTCCTGCTTGTTTCCAGATTTAAATAAAGGTATGACTTTTGCTATCTTCATCTGTAGTGGAACTGTACCAGTTTGAAATGATAGATTGAAGATGTGTGCTAATGATTTGGCAATTACTGTAATTATTTTGTTTTATCAGGGCCATGTCCAAATCAATGTAATCAGTTGATTTCTTATTTTTACATTTCATGACTGTATTGACAATTTCCGTTTCCTCCACAGGGGAAATAAACATGGAATGGGGATTTCTGTCAATTAGTTGTTGGCGTTCTCCTGTGTGTTGAGGGATTTTGGCTGCCAAATCTGGACCCACATTAGCAAAGAACTGATTGAACTTATTTGCCACCATTTCCATGTTATATTCATCTATATTATTATGTGTAAAGAATTTCGGATAGTTTTCTGCTTTTGGCTTATTATTTATGACACTGTTCAATATTTTCCATACCTCTTTCACATTGTTTTTATTATAATCTAATAATTTCCTAAAGTAATCTCTCTTACTTGTACGCAAAATTGTAGTTAATTTGTTTTTATATGTTTTATATCTAGTCTCTGTCTCAATCGTTCTCTTTTTTATAAAATTTCTGAATAGACTATTTTTCTTATTGCAAGCATTTTGAAGACCTTTTGTTATCCAAGGGTGTTCTTTATATCTACTTTTTTTATTATAGTATACAATTGGACAGTTTCTATTATATAACTCTAGAAATATTTTTATAAATTCATTGTATGCACATTCTGCATTTTGGATATTACATATAGCATCCCAGTCTTGAGAAAGTAAACTATTTTTAAAGGCAGTGATAGTTTGGTCTGATTGAATTCGTCTGTGGTATTGTATTTTTTCAGGCACTTTTTTTCTCAATCTAAAATCAGTAACTATGAAAACTGGCAGATGATCTGTGATATCATTTATTAACAAACCGCTTAATGTATGTTTCTCAGTGTTTTTTATGAATGTTTCAGTTTTAAAATAGTTATATATTATTATAGCAAAAGAAACATTCAGAACTGAAGAAGCTGCTTGGATGAAAACACTAAAAGCTTTTGTCAAGTTGATAGAATTTTTTTCTTTTTACAATGGATCCTTCTTGGACGACTGAAATAATACATAACACTTGTATTTCAAGATACCCAAAGATGCTTTACATGAGAAGACAAACAACGACAAACAAGAGAAAAAGACAGTTAATGAAAGTTTTTTTTGTTTTTGTTTTTTTAAAGGTGGGTTTTCAGGGCTTTTTTAAACATGAGGAGTGTGGGTGAGTCTCTGATGTGTTTGGGTAGTGAGTTCCAGAGGGTGAGGGCAGCAGTGGAAAAGGCCCGGTCGCCCCAGGTCTTATGTTTAGTCCTGGTGGGGGGAGACAGGAGGTTGGTGTCAGCTGATCGGAGGGCACGGGTGGTGGTGTGGTGGTGGAGGAGCTCAGAGAGGTAGGTGGGGGTCAGGTTGTGGAGGGGCTTGTACACAATGGTGAGGAGTGTGAACTGGATGCGCTGGGGGATGGGGACAGGGGTGATGTGTTCAGGAAAGGAGGTGCAGGTGAGGAGGCAGGCAGCAGAGTTCTGGATGTACTGGAGTCTATTGAGGAGTTTGGAGGGTGAACCATAGAGCAGGATATTGCAGTTGTGGAGGCATAAGGTGACAAAGACGTGGATGAGGGTTTGAGCAGACTGAGGGGAGAGGGATGGGCGGAGGCGAGCAATGTTCCGGAGGTGATAGAAAGCAGTTCTGGTGATGTGTTTGACGTGATGTTCAAAGGAAAGGGTCTGGTCAAAGAGGATGCTGAGGTTACAGAGGTGGGAGGAGGAAGGGACTGAGGAGCCATGAATGGACAGGGTGATGTTATTGTGAGTTTTGGTGAGTGTTTTGGGGCCAATAATGATGATTTCATTTTTGTTGCAGTAGAGTTGGAGGAAGTTTGACTGTAGCCAGGACTTTATTTCAGAGATGCAATTTGTGAGGGTGGAATGTGTGGCCAGGGTTATGGTTTTGGTGGACAGGTAGAGTTGAATGTCATCAGCGAAACAATGGAACTGGAGGCCGTGGCGGCGGATTAAGTGACAGAGGAGGAGGATGTAGAGGATGAAGAAGAGCGGGCCGAGAACTGAACCTTGGGGAACTCCTTGAGTAAGTGGGGCAGAGGGGGACTTGCAGTGGGTGACATGGATGAATTGGTGTCTGTCGGTGAGGTATGAGGTGAACCAGGAGAGGGCGAAGTCAGTGATGTTGAAGGTGGTTTGCAGGCGGGAGAGGAGGATGGAGTGATCGATGGTGTCAAAAGCAGCAGTGAGGTCCAGGAGGATGAGGATGTTGAGGTTCCCAGAGTCACAGGAGAGCAGGAGGTCATTAGTGACTCGGAGGAGGGCTGTCTCGGGGCCACGGTGGAAGCAAAACCGGATTGGAAACATTCAAACAGGTTATTGGTGGTGAGGTGGGATTTCAGTTGGGTGGAGACGGCACATTTGATTTGAGTTTGGAGAGAAATGGGAGGTTAGAGATGGGTCTGTAGTTGTTTGGAAAGTCTGGGTCAAGTCCAGGTTTTTTGAGGATAGGAGTAATGGTGGCGAGCTTAAGCGCGGAAGGGACGGAGCCAGTGGACAGAGAGAAGTTCATGATGGATGTGAGGAATGAGGACTGAGCAGGCAGACCGGCTTTGCCAAAGGTGGATGGGATGGGATCAGGGAAACAGCTGCAGGTTTTCATGCCTTCCAGAAGTTCAGGTAAGTCAGAGGGGGAGATCTGGGAGAAATGGGACAGGGTGGAGCAAGTAGTGGGAGGGCATGGAGATGTAAGAGTGAGGGACGGAGATGCACAGAGGTGGTCGTATATGTTGGTGATTTTATTTGGAAAAAATGACAGGAAGGAGATAAACTTTTCTTCTGTGAATGATTGTGAGCCATTATCCAGGGGATTGAGGTGTTTGTTAATGGTGGTGAAAAGTGTTTTGGGATTTCCAAAGCCTGACTGAATGAGGTGGGAATAGTAGGTGGTCTGGGCTTGAGACAGGACTTCCTTGAATTGTTGCAGACCGGATTCACTATCTCACTATGAATTAGTAAAAAAAAAAAAACACTTATTCATAATAAACTGTATTTGCTTGTCATTAATTAAGTGTTTATTTGTGTTTAATATGAATTAATATGAATTTATTATAAATTGTGATTCAGTATTCTAGAACCACATGCACTTAAATCTTCAGTGAGATTTTGCTGTGTATAGGGCGACCCCTCTGGTTGTTATTGTGAATTGCACCCTTTAATGTTTTTGTACAGTTGTAGATATACTTTATGTCACTGTGCTGTCGGGCACAGTAGTACACAGCCGTGTCCTCAGTCTGGAGGTTGTTCATCTGCAGATACAGCTGGTTTCTGCTGTTGTCTCTGGAGATAGTGAACCTGCCTTTCACTGACTCAGAGTAAGCAGTGCCTGCACTGGGGTTAATGTGAGCCAGCCACTGCAGCCCCTTCCCAGGAGCCTGTCTGATCCAATTCATGTAAAGGCTGCTAAATGTGAACCCAGATGTTGTACAGGTCAGTCTGTGGGACTCTCCTGGTCTTTTCACAGCTGGACCAGATTCAGTCAGAGTCTGAGCAAAGACACCTGTGGAAACAAGCCAAAACTGTATTCAAATTCATCCTGCTGTCATTTACCAGTATTAGTCCAGAGCAACAGTTCACCTGTCCAGTATGTGACAAACACAAGTGCTGTCCTGTAGTCCATTTTGTTCAAGTGTTCACAGCTCTGTTTCCTCTCCACACAGAGTTAAATAGAGGAGAGGATTTCAGGTTTGCATTGGCTCCTCCCCAGTGACAATTGTTGATACATGTTTGAAGGCTCTGAGGAGTAAATACCCAAGAATTACAGAATACAGTTTGGTTGTTTTGCACGTTTCAAGGACCAGGGCCTGAGCTGCTGCTACACTGAGCAGTGAAGTAGTTCAAATTAGGCTAAAACAATAGTGTAAGTTCACCAAACACAATGGCAAACATGTCCTCATTCATTTGAGAGAACGCTGAATCCATCATGCATTTGCAGCACATTTGTAGAGTCTAAAACTACACAGTTAACAGGTGTACAGAATATGAGCCATGGAGACACACAGATATTTCTTGTTTGGAGTTGTAAAAATGTCTTAAAATTCCATAGTTATAAACAGGTACAATAATTATCATGAAGTCTAACACAACTTTATTGAGAGTCCATCGTTAAATTAACACTAACAAGAGTCAATCTTCATCTGCAATGGTTTGGACAATAGTGCAGAGGGTGGAGCATCTGTCCCTGGTTATAGTGGCTTTGAAGAGGACAATGACTTCACGTTCATAAATGATTCTCTGTAGTTTTGTTTGTAGCAGGTTTTTGTAGTGGCTTATTTCACTGTGCTCCCCCCCACACAGTGACACACACACATGCAAAAACCACTGACTGCTTTCCTGTCCTTCCTGAACATGAGCGCAGGACAAAATACAGGCCTCTTATTCTTAAGTTAGTTTAACATGTTTTTTTTTGTTTTTTTTTAATGCCAACTTTTTAACATTATTGTAACATTTAATTGAAATGTTTTGTTATAGAAAGGTTTTTATTGTCACTTTTAGTTTATTTTTTTTATTTTTTTTTATTTCATCCTACTCCTTTTGAGCACCAGGTCTCAAATATGTACATGTTTTACCTTGCTCAATTAAATAAAATAAATAAATAAATAAATAAACAAAATCATATATCATTGCTGGCTGAAGAGCATCTGACACTTAAAAAAAAAAAAAAGCACTCTCATATTGGTGTGCAACTAGTTTACTCTGATAATTATCCAAACGTAAAAAAAAAAAAAAAAAAAAAAAAAAAAATCATAATAAAATTATAGATTTAATAGTTATTATTTTAATAAATAATAATGATTAATAATAATAATAATAATAAACAATTAATAATAATAATAATAATAATAATATAATACTACAACTACTACTACTACTACTACTACTACTACTACTAATAATAATAATAATGTGAAGAGCTATGGAGCTAAAACTGTCCCCTGCAGGTTCCTAAAATTTCACATTATGAATAAAGCCTCATCTTCATCTAAGCCCAGACAATAAAAACAGTTTTATCTTGTAACAAATGACGTGTATCTTTCAAATGCTTAAGTATTATATATAAACATTATATTTAAATTTGTCACAGTTCGAGGGTGGTGGACTTTTATGTCATTTATAATCAAATGGCACCGGTTATTTTGAACAAAGCTTAGATCATTTAGATTTTATAGTGATTTGAAAGGTAAAATATGTATAATAATAATATAATAATAATAAAACTGCTTGTGGTTGTGATCTTAACATAGAAAAAAAAAAAAATTTTCTTGTATTTGAGTTAGAGTGAATTTCCAGTCTGTGTTTGAGAGGAACATCCACAGCAGCTCTTGGTTGGATGTTTTTGTACATGAGCTTCATTCTTCCTGTCACTGTGCTTGTCGGGCACAGTAGTAAACAGCAGTGTCTTCTGCTGTCAGACCTGTGATCTCCATGTACTGGGTGCTGCTGGGGACATTTTCAGTCAGAGTGAAGCGTTGTTGAAAGGCACTGCCATAAATAGCAGCATTACTCCCTGTGTCCATTCTTCCAATCCAGTCGAGCCCTTGTCCTGGTCTCTGTCGTATCCAGTGCATGTAGAAGCTTGTCATAGAAAAACCAGATGTAACACAGGACATCTTCACACTTTCTCCAGCTCTTTTCACCAGAGAAGATGGCTGCTCCAGTCTGATCTCTGTCCACACACCTGCACAAGAAATACATGAATTTAATTTACACTCAAACATTTTCAAATCACAATTCAAATGTCATAATTATTAAAGTCTTACAGTGAATTGTAGCTATAAATAATAATGTTAGTAGAAGATATTTTGCCATTTTGAAAAACAGATTTGTGTTCGATGTTGCAGTTCAATCTGGTTTCTGTGGCACAGAATAACTTAGTGGTGCTTTTAAAGTGTGTATAATTTGCATATACAGTAACTCCCTCTGCTGGACACAGACAGTAATGCTGATTGTAATTTCATTGTTTGTTCTCTCATTCAATGACAACAATCAAACTATAGTGTAATGAAAGATTATGTCATAATTAGTGCTAAATTGGGAACATTCATGTGTTTCAGATGCTTCTTCTTCTTTTCATAAGACAATTTTAATAGAAACAGTTTTCTTGTGAAAATGTTAAGTTTATTTATATTCATGAAAAACAAGAATATCTGACATCAATTCATTGAGTGTTTATGGTGACAATAGTGATAGTGGAAACACTGCACTATTTTTAGCCAGTAGAGAAGAGCACAGTGAACAGAGGAAGTAGTTTTTGTCCCAGCGCTCTGTTATTCTGTCTCATTGTGTCTCTTCTGGCACAGTAATACAGCGCAGTGTCCTCTGTCCTCAGACCGCTCATCTGCAGATACACCTGGCTGCTGGAGTCGTCTCTGGAGATGGTGAAGCGTCCCTCCACTGACTTGGAGTAGTAGAGGTCACTACTGCCAATGTGTACAAATGCAACCCACTCCAGTCCTTTACCTGGATTCTGTCTCACCCAGTTCCATGCATGGCTGCTGAAACTTAACCCAGAGGTAGTACATGTGAGTCTATGGGATTCTCCAGGACGTTTGATGGCTGATCCAGACTCTGTTATGGACCAATATTGAAAAAGGCACACAGCACACAGCAGTATAGTGAAGTGTGTAACAGCCATTGTAGCACAGTGCTGCTGTCAACAGTGTGGTTCTCATTTATATATCAGCTTTACTCAAGCTCCTCCCACTATCCAAACTATGACCATAAACCCAAATTTATGAAAAACATGAATGAAAAGTAAATATTTTAAAGACACAACCAGTCAAAAGTTCAGACACACTTCTTCATTATTGCTCTTTCTTTATTTTCATGATTATTTACATTGTGAAAGTATAAAAACTATGAATGAATATATATGGAATGTAAAAAAAAATATATCCTTGATACAACTGCAGACTTTTTGTAGAATTTAGATTTATTTTCTTTTTAGTTTTTGACGTCCTCCTTGCTCGCTCTTCAATTTACATTCTGATGATGAAACAACTGCACTTCACATTTGGTTTGTGAAGTTGTAGTGTTTGTTTTGTATCAAACTTTTCTTTATTAGTGGAAAGTTGTTGTGTGGGAGCATGGGTGACATAGGCTTTGGATAGGATCGTATTGCCAATCCTAAGGAGGGTTCAAGGCTCGAGAGAGAGCGCTAGATTACTCAAACATGCATGGGTGACATTTAAAACCTCTTCAGGTGTGATTTTGATTATAACATGATAGATGATAGCTCCAAAAAGTCAATTTTGCATAATACCCCTCTTTAAAAATACCAACACTTTGCACTGATCACTGCTTTGCACTCTTGGCATTACCTCACCCTGATAAGGCACATCTGTGAAGTGAAAACCATTTCAGGACATTATTGAGAGAAGTCCTAGGGTTTGAGATCAACAAAATAAAGAGTGGCTACTTTGAGGAAATTGAATACAAAACATTAAACATATGAAGATGAGTTATTTATCAACTTGTCAACACATTTTACTTCATATATTTCATGTATGCCACATGTATTTATGTTTACTACTTCATACATTGTAAAGAAAAAAAACATGGTGATATTATATTAGCATGTAATAATATGTGATGGTCTCCTTTAGATGAAGTAGAAAACACAATGAATATGATCTGAGATTTGCCATATCACAACTCTCCTTTGGTTATTGCAGCTGAAAGAAAATGGATGAGAAAGTGTAACAAAGTATTTCCAACTCCATGTGATTTTGACTCAGAGCTTTTCTTTATAACAATCTATACATAGTTATAACACATAAATATGGAAGGATTGTAGATGCTCCTGCACTCATGTTTTTGTCATGGTGTTTTTCACTGTGGCCGCTGCTATATGCACAATGATTCACCTCTGCACAGAAACACTGAACTGTCTGTCTGTCACTCTAACTGCTGCTCAGCTCGAGCTCAGGATGATTTCATTATTAGTCTAATTTCACTGTGAAACCACTTTACTAATTCTTAAATTTGTATATATGTTAACTTGAACCACCTTCTTAAACTTATTTTAGAATTCAACGTAAATGTTAGAAAACTTTTGAAATCACTTTCCCCATACACATTTATGATCATTATCACTATTATTTATTTCATTCTTTTTTCTACATCAAATACAATTTTCTGTATTCAGTCTTTTACCTGGTGTCCACACATAGAAAAAGTCTCTCATGTTGCTGTGTGACTGGTTTGCTGTGATGATCACACAGAAGAAGTCATTTGGTCTTCATCCTGAGAAAGAAAAAGCCTGAATTTATATAATGCGTTAAGAAAAAATGTCTGACTTAAGATCATATCATGTTCATTGTCTTTGTCATTGTCAGATGAACAATTCTTGATCTCAACTCATTATGGACCAAGCAGCACATGTGGGATATACTGATAAACTGTGCATAGGACGCCCTCTCTGGTACTTACTGTGAATTGCACTATTTACTGTTTTTGTACAGCTCTACATATACTTTGTGTGACTGTGGCTCTCGAGCACAGTAGTACACTGCAGTGTCTCCAGGCTGCATGTTCTGTCCATTCAGAGTCACTGTTTTTGTGGAAGTGTCTAAATCAATACTGAATTTGTTCTTCAGAGAATCTTTGATGTTAGTGCCTCCTGTGTATTTGTACCCAATCCACTCCAGGCCTTTCCCAGCAGGTTGTCTGATCCAGTGTGTAACATAACTACTAACAGAGTATGAGACAGTACAGGGGATGGTGAGAGTGTGTCCTGGCTGCACAGTCACAGAGGTTGGCTGTGTCAGTGTCTCACACTTCACACCTGTGGAGGACAGAAATGTGTTGAGGAGATGCTTCAATAACAGGAGCATTGTGTGTAAGTGGAGCTGATGTTGAGTGTGAAAAAGGAAAAACTCACAGATCAGACAGAGAGCAGCCCACAGCAGAGTGAGTGTGTCCATCCTGAGACTGCACATGTGAGCGAGGAGGAGCAGCAGCACACTATGTACTGTACACACATTTACATCTGCTCTGCATACACTCCTCCTCTCACTCACACATACAAATCCTCTATGAGGAACAGTAAAGTGGTCAAGGTCAGAGAAATTGTCATAATATTCAGTTTGCATGTTGCACTAATCAATCATCATTTGTTTTTATCATATCACAAGTTGAATTAATTTAATACTAAGCAAATAATAAGATCTATGGTGAGCCAGACTTTTTCAATAAAAAGCACAAACACAGGCCACATTAACATTACTGTTTGTCAACAATGTTTAGAAAATATTTGCAAAAAATCAACTATTAAAAGTTGTAATTTACCAAAAGAAGTTTTTTATTTTTAACTGGAGTTGAAATTATACTTCAGTTAATGTCATCAGCTTGTATGATTTTGGCACTATTAGCACTTACAGCATAAAGAACAATTTGAGTGCATTTTAGATTTCGACTAGTCTTTATCAACTGTTCATTTTGTTACAACTATGGACAGAATTTCACTTTTATTAAAATATTAAGATTCAACAAGTCCTCATATTATTATTACATCCATATTTAAACTTGTTAACATGTTAATATTAGTAATAATTATTCATTACTAATTTGTAATTACAGAGGAATTTCTTGAAAGGTCACTCCAAGATGTAGTATTCTTCTACAATTAGTTTCCGAGATTATAATACTGATATTATCTGCAAATGTAGTCCGAGGTCATAACACTGTTCTGTATATGTGTATGATGTATATAGTTGAATAGCCTGTTGTGCTTTACTCTCTGTTAGGGGCTGACTCTGTGTTTTTGTACAGCTCTGCTGTTGCTCTGAGTCACTGTGCTCGCACACAGTAATAAACAGCTGAGTCTTCAGGCTGCAGCCTCTGTCCTTGAATCGTCACTGTTCCTGCAGACGTGTCTCTACTCAGACTGAACTTGTTCTTCAGAGCATCGTTCTGGTAGAAGCTACCAGAATTTCCTCCCCACTGATGGAAAATCCACTCCAGTTTGCCCTCTCTCTGTCTGATCCAGCCTGTGGCATAGCTGTTGTCAGTGAGAGAGTAACCAGAGACCCGACAGCTGATGGTCAGAGTCTGAGCAGGCTGCAGCAGCACTGAGCCTGGCTGGAGGAGCTCCACACAGTCCACTGTACCTGTGGAAAGACAACATCATCATCACACTCATTCTCCTACAGGGGGCGCTGCTGTGAAGGTCAGGAAGTGTTCTCACAGGAAGCAGCTGCCAGCAGCAGGAGCACAGCCACAGACAACATGACTCAAGTGTGTCTGTCCCTCTCTCCACTCGCCTTATATCACTCTGGGATTTGCATATGCACGAATACACCAGTGTTTTGTTTTGATTATGCCATGTTATAAATCCCTCCTAATTCACAAGTGATTCATGCACGTCTGAGTCATTTTTATTCTCTGGCAATGAGAGACCATTGCTCTGAAAATCTGCAACCATTAATATGCTCTACTCTTATTTTGTTACAACTTTGGTAAGGATAAAATAAAATAATAATTATTTATTTAATGATTACTGTATAATGAGTTCTTTCAGAGTAACATGGGATTTTGCAGTTGTTGTTTTTCTTTTTTTTCCCTTTTTAATAAACAACACTGTTTTGACAGTAAGAAAGCTGTTCATATTTTTTATTGGATTAATTTCAGATCACTAAGAGATCATTATTTACTTTAGTGGAGTTTTTGTTCAGCTCCTCCATGTGACTCTCTCACTGTGGTCTCGGGCACAGTAGTACACAGCCGTGTCCTCAGTCTGGAGGTTGTTCATCTGCAGATACAGCTGGTTTCTGCTGTTGTCTCTGGAGATGGTGAACCTGCCTTTCACTGACTCAGAGTAATAAGTAGTGCCCCCACCTCTGTTAATGTAAGCCAGCCACTGCAGTCCCTTCCCAGGAGCCTGTCTGAGTCAGTTCATGTAAAAGCTGCTAAATGTGAACCCAGATGTTGTACAGGTCAGTCTGTGGGACTCTCCTGGTCTTTTCACAGCTGGACCAGATTCAGTCAGAGTCTGAGCAAAGACACCTGTGGAAACAAGCCAAAACTGTATTCAAATTCATCCTGCTGTCATTTACCAGTATTAGTCCAGAGCAACAGTTCACCTGTCCAGTATGTGACAAACACAAGTGCTGTCCTGTAGTCCATTTTGTTCAAGTGTCCACGGCTCTGTTTCCTCTCCACACAGAGTTAAATAGAGGAGAGGATTTCAGGTTTGCATTGGCTCCTCCCCAAAAGTTTATATATTGTCACATGTTTTGGTTATAAAAAAAGATGGTGGCAGAGTGGTTGGTGGTTTAAGCAATAAAACAAATAATATAAAATAAATGAATGAGGCAGTGCTGTTTCTACATTTTTCTTTATTATTATTATTATTATTATGCACATGAAACAATGACACAGGTTATAAACAAATGAAAATGATTTGATCTAAATGTATGAGTCATTGTTCACTGATATGTCTATCTGTAGATGACACACAAACACATGTGTATTTGGGCAGTGTGATTGATTCTTGCTGATCACAACACATTATGGACCAAACCAAAGCAATATTCTAGAGCCATGTGGATCACAGACAGAAGTGATATTTTGCTGTGTATAGAGCACCCTCTCTGGTACTTACTGTGAATGGCACTCTTCAGTGTTTTTGTACAGCTGTTCACATACTTTGTGTGACTGTGGTCGTCTGGCACAGTAGTACACTGCAGTGTCTCCAGGCTGCATGTTCTGTCCATTCAGAGTCACTGTTTTTGTGGAAGTGTCTACATCAATACTGAATTTGTTCTTCAGAGAATCTTTGTAGTAAGAGCTTCCTGTATGTTTTTGTCCAATCCACTCCAGGCCTTTCCCGCAGGCTGTCTGATCCATGCTGTGTAGCTGCCAAGAGAGTATGAGACAGTACAGGGGATGGTGAGAGTGTGTCCTGGCTGCACAGTCACAGAGGTTGGCTGTGTCAGTGTCTCACACTTCACACCTGTGGAGGACAGAAAGGTGTTGAGAAGATGCTTCAATAACAGGAGCATTGTGTGGAAGTGGAGCTGATGTTGAATGTGAAAGAGGAAAACTCACAGAGAGCAGCCCACAGCAGAGTGAGTGTGTCCATCCTGAGACTGCACATGTGAATGAGGAGGAGCAGCAACACACTATGTACTGCACACACATTTACATCTGCTCTGCATACACTTCTCCTCTCACTGACACAATGAAAAAACTCCCATATAATGAACAACAAAGTGAAAATGCATGTTATTTTCACACTGTGCTGACACTGTGATTGTGCACAGTGACGTGTATGATTCAGCAGCGTCACAGTGCGGCACTTTACACTGTTACTATGATGTTTATCAGGTCATTTTACATCATTATTGCTGCATTTATAGTATCTTCTCTCTTTAATGTCTCTATTTCTTTTTGAATTTTATGATGTTATTTGTTTTGATTTGTTTGTATTGCAATTTTCATGTATTTCTTATTCTGTCAATCACTTTGAATTATTTTGTGTATGAACTGTGCTATGAAAATAAACTTGCTTTGCCATGGCATTTACTTCACAGATTGAGATGGAGTGTGAAAAGATTTGGAGCAAAAACATCCCCCTGCAGGACCCCAATATGTTTTACACAACACTATGTCCCTAGTCTAGACCAACATACAGGTGTGTTTTCAGTTGCTCTGTAATGACAATTTATTTAAAGAATAAAGTAGAAGTGCTCATATAAAGAGTGAATGACAAAAAAATTAGGAATCTCCAAATCAAACAATATTTTAAAAAGTACATTTCTGATCATTTGAAATCAGGTAAAAAAAAAATGCAGTTGAATTAACAGAATCCATTTTCATGTTAAAATCATACATCCATTTATATTTATGGGTATAAATAAAAGGTAAAGTTTGAATCGTGTTGCCTCAAGTTTTTGTTTTTCTTTGTGGCATTAGTGCTGAAAATTGGTGAAGCATCAAACTATTTTTAGCCAGTAGAGAAGAGCACAGTGAAGAGAGGAAGTAGTTTTTGTCCCAGCGCTCTGTTATTCTGTCTCATTTTGTCTCTTCTGGCACAGTAATACAGCGCAGTGTCCTCTGTCCTCAGACCGCTCATCTGCAGATACACCTGGCTGCTGGAGTCGTCTCTGGAGATGGTGAAGCGTCCCTCCACTGACTTGGAGTAAAAGAAGTGACTACTGCCAGTGTGCACAAATGCAATCCACTCCAGACCTTTACCTGGAGCCTGTCTCACCCAGTTCCATGTATGTTTGCTGAAGTCAAACCCAGAGGTAGTACATGTGAGTCTATGGGATTCTCCAGGACGTTTGATGGCTGATCCAGACTCTGTTATGGACCAAGCATGAACAATATTGAAAAGGCACACAGCACACAGCAGTATAGTGAAGTGTGTAACAGCCATTGTAGCACAGTGCTGCTGTCAACAGTGTGGTTCTCATTTATATATCAGCTTTACTCAAGCTCCTCCCACTATCCAAACTGTGACCATAAACCCAAATTTATGAACAACTTGATGAAAATAAATATTTAAATATGTATTTACATATTATATAATAAGTGCTGGAGGCTGAATAAAGGAGGCTGTCAGTGAGAGAAATTTAAAAGTATCTTAGAAGAAATTCCGATGAGAGAGTGAAACAAGATATTTTCAACTCCATATGACTTTGATTCAGAGAAGTTTAGTTTACAGCTCTATGTATGTATGTAGAAATATGTCAGGACTCTAGATGTTCTTGGAGTCATGTTTTTGTCATGGTGTTTTTCACTGTGGTAGCTGCCATGTGCACAGTGACACACCTCTGCACATAAACACCCTGTCTGTCTGTCTGTCTGTCTGTCTGTCTGTCTGTCTGTCACTCTAACTGCTGCTCAACTATAGGGAGGATTCCATTATAGATCTATTTCACTGTCAAACAAATCTACTTTTGGGCTCACAGTCACCTCAAACGTTGGTGTCAAAAAACAAATAAAAACAAAAACTTTTTTTTTTAATGAAAACTGAAAAATTTTGAGACACTTTTGGAATTACTTTGTGAAAAGAACTAAACATTTTTGATCAACTTGGCCTTTCCCCATTAGAGCAATAAAGGACACCAGGTCTGTAGCTGCTACCACAGTGAGAGTGAAGCAGATCAAATAAAACATTAAAAACAGAGGAGTCATGTTTTGCAGTTTTAATTCACACCGTGGAGTCACTGTAACTGCTGCTCAACTGTGGCTCAGGAGGATTTTAGTTTTAGTCAAATTTCTCTGCAAAAGTTAAGCACAAATCAAGAAATGTTATAAGGTGTCAGATTTAAAATAGCTACATTACAATAGCTAAACAAAAATTCAGAACTTAAGAAGCTGCTCAGATGAAAACTCAGAAAGCTTTTGTTCAGTCCAGAATTGATTTTTTCTTTTACTGTGGATCCTACCTGGACGACTGATGAATTAAACAAACAGCTGCATTACTACTTTAAAATAACTCATATATATCAAGACTTAAATAATTAATTAGTAAACAAATAATTAATTCATAATAAACAAATTGTTAATATAGTATTTGCTCATCATGAATTATGTGTTTATTTGTGTTTAAGATGAATTAATCTGCATTTATTATTTAAGTGTGACTCAATATTTTAGAACCACCTGCACTTAAAGCTTCAGTGACATTTTGCTGTGTAGAGGGCGACTCCTCTGGTTGTTACTGTGAATTGCACCCTTTAATGTTTTTGTACAGTTGTAGATATACTTTATGTCACTGTGCTCTCGGGCACAGTAGTACACAGCCGTGTCCTCAGTCTGGAGGTTGTTCATCTGCAGATACAGCTGGTTTCTGCTGTTGTCTCTGGAGATGGTGAACCTGCCTTTCACTGACTCAGAGTAATAAGTAGTGCCCCCACTGCTCCATATTTCAGCCAGCCACTGCAGTCCCTTCCCAGGAGCCTGTCTGATCCAGCTCATGTCATAGCTGCTAAATGTGAACCCAGATGTTGTACAGGTCAGTCTGTGGGACTCTCCTGGTCTTTTCACAGCTGGACCAGATTCAGTCAGAGTCTGAGCAAAGACACCTGTGGAAACAAGCCAAAACTGTATTCAAATTCATCCTGCTGTCATTTACCAGTATTAGTCCAGAGCAACAGTTCACCTGTCCAGTATGTGACAAACACAAGTGCTGTCCTGTAGTCCATTTTGTTCAAGTGTCCACAGCTCTGTTTCCTCTCCACACAGAGTTAAATAGAGGAGAGGATTTCAGGTTTGCGTTGGCTCCTCCCCAAAGTTTATATATTGTCACATGTTTTGGTTATGAAAATAGATGGTGGCAGGATGGTTGGTGGTTTAAGCAGCACACCTTTTAAAACACCCAAAGTGCTTTTAAATTGCATTATTCATTAATTCTCCACACACAGGGTTTGTAAGCCAAGTTTTACATGCTATTTATTTATTGATTTATCATAAAATATAAATTCAGAGTTTGTCCCTACTGCTAAATTCAAGTTGAAATCACAAACACATAAAATTTCAAGATGCATTTTTAGAAACAGATAGTTAAAGTGTGAAGAGTTATAGGGCCAAAACTGTCCCTTGTGGGTCCAAACATTACATATCAAGATAATACAATACAATATAATAATATAATATTATAATTCTGCTGACAGACCTGTGATCTTCATGTACTGGGTGCTGCTGGGGACAATTTCAGTCAGAGTGAAGTGTTGAAAAGCGCTGATGTAAGAAATTAAAATGTTCCATGGTCATGTTGCCTGCTTATTATTTTAACACTGTATTTTACTGTATGGAACTTTTTTATTTTTATTGGTTATGGTTCACTGTATTTAACAATATTTAATTATTTATTTATTCAGTTAGTGTCAATTATTCACTGTTTTTACAGAACCACGTTGTTACTGTCATGTTTTATTAGCTCTATAAATCTTATATCCAAAATATTATTCTATTCTACCTACACTACAAATATGTTTGTATTTATGTGTTTCACCAGGGCTCTTCTATTCTTCAACTACTTCTAATGCACATGAATAAATGGTGAAAACAGATTACCTCTCTGTCATCATTTGAAGAGTGCAAACATCAAAAATCTTGCATTTGTTTTATTCATGGGTATAAATTGAACATTTTAATCAAAATCAATCAAATATTTCCGTTGTGAGAATACTGCTAAAACTGGTGAAACATCCCACTATTTTTAATGTATTGTCTCCTGAAAATAAAAAAAGTCAGTCATGTTTTTGTCAAGGTGTTTTTCACTGTGGTAGCCGCTGCCACTATAAACTCACCGTGATCCACCTCTGCACATAAACTCCCCCTGCTGTTTGTCACTATAACTAATGCTGCAACATCAGGAGGATTTCATGATCACTGACACACACACAACTAGAATCTGAACAGACACACACTTGAATCAAATGTGATGTTTTAATTGTTGTTTGTTGTTTCATGTTTGTCTTGTGAATCTAGTTAGTCTAGTCTAGTATTATGCACATAAAACAATGACACAGGTTATAAACAAATGAAAATGATTTGATCTGAATCTATGAGTCATTGTTCACTGATATGTCTATCTGTAGATGACACACAAACACATGAGAGAGTCACAGGGAGGAGCTGAACAAAAACTACACTGGAAATAAAGACAGTTCTGATCTGTTAGTGGTCTAAATGGATCCATAAAACCAATAAATATTAATACCATTTTCATCTTCTGACGTTACATTCTGTTACAGCTTTCTCACTGTCAAACACAAAACATAACAGTATCCTGAAAGAAATCATTGCTATTTCATTTT